GAGAAAAAGGATGTAAACTATCCCGAGAAAGGGAATCAATCATATCGGGGTCGTGGTGGTCGTTTTAATCGTGGGCGTGGAAGAAATTACAACTCACGTGGAAGGAGGTCGTTCAAATGGGTTCGTCCTCAAAATGATTCAAAAGGGAAGGAACACCAAGAAAATTCCACCCAGAAGAGTGAGAATGTGTGTTATAGATGTGGATCTAAGGGACATTGGGCCCGTACGTGTCGAACTCCTCCACATCTTTGTAAGTTGTACATGAATTCCACGAAAGGAAAAGGGAAAGAAGTCAATTTAGCAGAAAACTTCGAGGATACATCGTATCTCGATTCTCCCTCCTTTGCAAATGATTTGGATTAGACCGCTTTTGCGGTTAACTAAAGAGCTTGTATTGAGACTGCTGAAATAGTCTCTAGTTATGCCATATATATAATATTATGCTTTTGTTATTTTGAAAAATAATGTTGTTTTAACAACAATTTAATATATAATTATTGTGTGTTTTCCTTTCATGAATAAAATTTACTTTCTTTTTATTGATGTTTATCTTAATCACAGAAATGGATGAAACAATCTCCAAGGAAATGGTTCAAGAAATTTGTATACCAGATAGTGGGGCAACCCACACTATTCTAAAGGACAAAAGATATTTCCCTAACTTAAAACCGACAAACATTATTGTCAATACAATATCAGGTCCTGTAGACGTGATTGAAGGAACTGGTATGGCCAACTTTATGTTGCCTAATGGAACCAAGTTTTCCATAAAAAATGCCTTGTATTCTCCAAAATCTAAAAGGAATTTGTTGAGTTTCAAAGACATATATCTTCAAGGATATGATACTCAGTCTGCAACTGAGAATGAAAAGAAGTATATGTACATAACTTCTGATAAATCGGGAAAAAGGCTTATATTGGAAAAATTTCCAAAACTTCCTTCAGGATTGCATTATACTCATATAAGTGCAGTCGAATCGCATCTAGTGATTAAAAGAAATCCAGAAGATTTCACATTATGGCATGATCGCCTCGGTCATCCAGGCACTTCGATGATGCGAAAAATCATAGAGAGCTCACATGGACACCCATTGAAAATCCAGGAGATATATCATGGGAATAAAAAGACATGTGCCGCATGTTCTCTTGGAAAACTTATCATAAGGCCATCGCCAGCCAAAATTGATAAAGAATCACCAGAATTCCTTGAACGAATTCAAGGAGATATTTGTGGACCAATACATCCACCATGTGGACCATTCCACTATTTCATGGTATTAATTGACGCATCCAGCAGATGGTCACATGTTTGTCTATTATCATCTCGAAATATTGCATTTGCGAGATTTCTAACTCAAATAATCAAACTGAGGGCTCAGTTTTCTGATTACCCTATTAAAAGAGTTAGACTAGACAACGCTGGTGAATTCACATCCCAAGCTTTTAATGATTATTGTATGGTAACGGGAATTGAAGTAGAACATCCTGTAGCTCATGTTCACACACAAAATGGTTTGGCTGAATCATTAATTAAACGTCTGCAATTGATTGCAAGACCATTGATCATGAGATCAAAACTTCCAACCTCTGTATGGGGACATGCCATTTTGCATGCAGAAGCACTCATTCGGATAAGACCAAGTGCATACCATAAATACTCCCCACTACAGTTAGCATTTGGTCGAGAACCAAATATATCCCATCTAAGAATTTTTGGTTGTGCAGTGTATGTGCCTATAGCACCACCACAACGTACAAAGATGGGACCACAAAGAAGGTTGGGAATATATATTGGCTGTGATTCTCCATCAATTATAAGATACCTAGAACCGCAGACTAGTGATGTCTTTACGGCACGATTTGCCGATTGTCACTTTGATGAGAAAGTATTCCCGGTTCTAGGGGGAGAAAATAAGCAAGTAGGGAAAGAAATCAAATGGTGTGTACCATCCCTGTTACACCTTGATCCTCCTACAAAACAGTCAGAAATAGAAGTTCGACGAATTGTGCATTTGCAAAGTATAGCAAATCAACTTCCCGATGCTTTTGTAGATACCAAAACGGTAACTAAATCATATATTCCAGCTGCAAATGTTCCTGCTCGGATTGAAATTCCACAAGAACATGGAAAAGCAGACGATACACGTGAGTCTAGAACACGCCTGAAGCGTGGTAGACCAGTTGGTGCTAAGGGTAAAAATCCTAGAAAACGAAAGGAAGTTGAAAAGCATGATATTCCCAAAATAGCAGAAAGCATTTTGGAAGAAACAAATCATGAGTCTAATGACAATGATGAGCATCATGAGCCTGAAGGAAATCATGAGATTTCTATCAACTATATCCATAATGGAAAGATCTGGGATCGAAATAAAATGGATGAAGTTGATGACGTTTTCTCATACCTTTTGTCAAAGGAAATTGATGAGGAAAACGAGGATCCAGAACCAAAGTCGGTATATGAATGTCAAAAGAGACATGACTGGATAAAATGGAAAGATGCAATACAAGTCGAACTTGATTCGCTCAATAAGCGAAATGTATTCGGACCTATTATACTCACACCTGAAGATGTGAGACCGGTTGGATACAAGTGGGTTTTCGTTAGAAAACGAAATGAGAAAAATGAAATTACGAGATACAAGGCTCGTCTTGTAGCTCAAGGATTTTCTCAAAGACCCGGGATTGATTATGAGGAAACATATTCCCCCGTTATGGATGCAATAACGTTTAGATTCTTGATGAGTCTAGCGGCTGATAAAAATTTAGAAATGCGTCTCATGGATGTTGTTACAGCATATTTGTATGGATCATTAGATACAGATATCTATATGAGAGTTCCCGACGGGTTTAATATGCCAGAAGCATTGAAATCTAAACCCAAAGAGTTATGTGCAATAAAGTTACAAAGATCATTATATGGGTTAAAGCAATCTGGGCGAATGTGGTATAATCGTCTCAGTGAACATTTAACGAAAGAAGGATACGTGAACGATCCTATATGCCCATGTGTTTTCATCAAGAAAACAAAATCCGGATTTGTGATAATCGCGGTATATGTTGATGATCTAAATATAATTGGGACTCAAGATGAAATACAGAAAGCAACAAACTATTTAAAAGGGGAATTCGAGATGAAAGATCTCGGACAAACAAAGTTTTGTCTTGGCCTACAAATTGAACATTCCCAAAAGGGTATATTTGTGCACCAATCCACGTATACTAAAAGAGTGCTAAAACGATTCAACATGGATAAGGCAACTCCTCTTAGTACTCCTATGGTCGTTAGATCACTTAACGTTGAGAGTGATCCATTTCGACCGCATAAGGAGAATGAAGAGATACTCGGTCCTGAAGTACCGTATCTAAGTGCAATTGGAGCCCTTATGTATCTTGCAAATTGCACTCGACCTGATATATCATTTTCAGTCAATCTTTTGGCTAGATTTAATTCATCTCCTACACGAAGACATTGGAACGGAATTAAACATGTCTTTCGTTATCTTCAAGGGACTATTGATTTAGGGTTATTTTATCCTAAAAATATAAATGGTCAAATGATTGGTTTTGCAGATGCAGGATATTTATCAGATCCACACAAAGCTCGATCCCAAACAGGATACGTATTCACGATTGGAGGTACTGCTATATCATGGCGTTCTCAGAAGCAGACACTTGTAGCTACTTCTTCAAATCATGCTGAAAATCATTGCACTCCATGAAGCGAGTAGAGAATGCGTGTGGCTACGATCAATAAGTCGACACATTCAAACGAGTAGTGGAATTCGTCTGAATACGGAGCCAACTATCTTGTATGAAGACAATGCTGCATGTGTTGCTCAGACAAAGGAAGGATATATCAAAAGCGATAGAACCAAACATATCCCTCCGAAGTTCTTTTCATACACCCAAGAGCTCGTGAAGAATAAAGACATTGAAGTAAGATATGTCCGATCATCCGAGAATTCTGCGGATCTCTTCACGAAATCATTACCCACCTCTATATTCAGGAAACATGTTCATAACATTGGAATGCGTCGTCAACAAGACTTGTAAGTTATGATCCTGATCATTCGAGGGGGAGCTTGCGCGGTTGCACTCTTTTTACCTACTATGGTTTTTCCCACCGGGTTTTCCTAGAAAGGTTTTTAACGAGGCAACAGAAGACATTACGCAAGAGACATAGTGACACTGGTCTCCAAGGGAGAGTGTTATAAAAGTCATGAAAAGGAGGAATCGTAAAGTCGCAAAAGATGCGCACATGGGTTAAACGTTTCGTTATTTATTAATTTATGTGGAGCCCACCGTCACTATGCATGCATAGTAACTTACTTTTTCCTGCCTATATAAACGAACGAATTCGTTCGTTGTAAATCACAATTCATACTTCAACAATAAGAAGTTATAAGAAATCTCTCTCCTCCTCTCATCTCTTTATTTTCAGTATCCCGATCCTTCTGCGGGTATAAATTCTTTCTCCATTAAATATATTTATATACACCATAAAATAAAGTAATTATTATAACACTATCTTCTATTTTGTTATGCATTTTCATTGTCATACTCATACCAACCCATCATGTTTGACAAACATAGTTTAAAATTTTATTTTCTAACTTTTTTGAATTCGGTATATAAAAAGTTTATATTGTCCATTCAAATTACAATATATATAATGTAATATGAATGATAAAACTTTCTAACGCAATATTAGTGGAACGAAAGTATAGCAAAATAATAAAATAGTAAAATCATTTAAAATAAATGTTTTTTGTTAAATAATTGAAAAGATGCAAAATTACTATAAATCAATTATATAATCGAATAAAAATGATTATACATTAAAAATAATTTATTCTCAAAACAAAACAAGAAACAACGAATTTTTCAAATCCAATTATAAGGTTTTTTTTTTTGTAAACATCAGGGTTTAGTTTTCTCATGAGACATAAATCACACCCACAGACATGGGACATTTTTTAACTATGAAAACAAGATTAGAGTTTTGGCTTGCGGATAAATGCTGGGGTCAAATGTTAAAAGAAGCAAAAGTTGGGGGTGGTGATACAAAATTTGTTTTTCCAGGCTGTAATTTTCTTACAGGCTCTTTCGTCGACGAACCACTTCCAGAAGCGATTCAAATTTCACAAAATAAAGTCTTCTTCCTCTTCGAATCAGAGATTTTCTCCTTCTTTAGCTCAGATCTGGGAGCTTCTGGTGATAGATTTGGAAGAAGATGACTGTGATCGATATTCTGACTAGAGTTGACTCGATCTGTAAGAAGTACGACAAGTACGATGTCGACAAACAGCGGGAGGCCAATATCTCCGGCGATGATGCCTTTGCTCGTCTCTATGGAGCTTTCGAAACCCAAATCGAGACCGCTCTCGAGGTAATTCTTTCTCTTTTCTCTTTGCATCACAATGTTGAATTCAAAGGATTGTGCTTCACAATGTTGAACATAGAGTTTGGTACTTTTCCGGCCCGGACTTCAATGGATGCATGAGTCCAATTCAGTGAAAAAATCTTGAAATTAGGTCGCGATTAGTCCTGATTTTGTATACGGTAATCGAGTTTTCGTGATGGGAATGAGATCTTTTTGAATGCTTTACCTAATTTATGCTCCCTGCAGTTTCTGGTTTGAGAATATTTTGCAAGTTCTTGAGGTTGCTGAAATTTCGATCTGCAGAAAGCTGAACTTGTTACCAAGGAGAAAAATAGGGCTGCTGCTGTTGCAATGAATGCTGAGATCCGGCGGACCAAGGCTCGATTGTCAGAGGAAGTTCCCAAGTTGCAGAGACTTGCTGTCAAGCGGGTTGGCTTCCTTTCTCATTTTTTACACTTTGGTTCACTGTTCAGCTGCATTGCTTCTAGTTATATCAGTAGCTTGGTTGAGGTTATATGATTTTTTTTGAAGGATTAACTTGTTCAGACTCGGTAACAATCTATACATTGTCAGGTTAAGGGCCTTACAACCGAAGAGCTTGCTGCGAGAAATGATTTGGTGCTCGCTCTTCCAGCCAGGATTGAAGCCATACCTGATGGGACAGCAGGTGGCCCTAAAAACACTAGTGGTTGGACTCCCTCCTCAACAACATCTCGTCCTGATATCAAATTTGATTCAGGTGATTCAAATGAAGTAGCTTTGTTTATCTCTTGTAGATTGTACTTACACGTTCAACTATAGTGTTCGGTGTATCTCAAAATCGTATGAGCTGTTTATCTTATTGTCTATGTACGAGCAACCTGAAGTTCAATTTCACTGAGTGACCTCTATTGTGGATGTTAGATGGGCGTTTTGATGATGATTACTTTCAAGAATCACATGAATCTAGCCAATTCAGACAGGAGTATGAGATGCGGAAAATAAAACAGGCAAGTAATGTTCATATCTTGTTGCATTCTACTCTTCTGTTCATGTAAACTCTGGTGGTTATATATTTGACTTGTTTACTTGAGTATAATTCAGGAACAAGGTCTTGACATGATCTCCGAAGGGTTAGATGCTTTGAAGAACATGGCGTCTGATATGAACGAGGTGAGTTTGTTAAAATGCAACTGTTAACACTTCCCTTATCCAGTACTTGAGCTGATGATCCATGTCACGACTCTTACAGGAACTGGATAGACAAGTTCCACTGATGGATGAAATCGACACAAAGGTAGAAGTCACCACCCAATTTCCTTTTCCTTTCTCTGTATTGGTTAGTTGTAATCTGAACTTTCTGAACTTGCTCACAGGTGGACAGAGCAACCTCGGATCTTAAGAACACCAATGTCAGACTTAAAGATACCGTGAACCAGGTGATTTAAGTTTGGAATCTATTTCTTGGACTCTCAGCCACGTAGGTCTGTTCTTGATTTCTAACATAAAAGCATGGCCTTTTGTTTACAGCTGAGATCAAGCCGGAACTTCTGTATCGATATTGTTTTGTTGTGTATTGTTCTGGGTATCGCTGCATACTTATACAAGTAAGTTTCTCTGATACGCATCAATTATAATTAATCACTCTGAAAAACCTTGTTTAACGAAACAAACATTTGTTCTCTGTGCAGTGTACTGAAGTAATGAGATGAACACGGCGAAAGGACCCAGTAGTACTTATCACCCGAGTCAGTGTCCAGTGTGTGCTTGTGTCTTACTTTTCTTCTCTGATATTTCTGCGAGAGTTTCTTCTTAATGTCAAGAATATTGAAGTATGTTCTTCCTGTATCGACTTTTCTCCATGTTGTTCGTTTGCATATATTCATCTTTGTCAAAGTGTGCATCAAACTAATTGTTTGCTGTGTCTGCTGCAGTGTGATATTATTTTCCAGGTAAAATATGATTTTTAATTTTTAAAAATCAAGCCAAAATTTATCAAACTTTTGGAAGATTTTAAGATCGGTGAACAGATTCTGAGCAAACAGAGAATTAACAATGTTGTCTGGTTAAGGATCAAAGCAATCTAGACACTGAAATTAAAATCTCATTGTAAGCAATGATGGCCACTTGGCGATCCTCGTCCTGAACCCGAATTACCAGTTTAGATAACCAATTTGTTCTCACATCTCTAAATAGATTAATCTCCATCCATAGTACCGTCTCAATATATAATGAGACTTATGGCAAAACAAAAAAATAAATTAAAACCCTCTTTTTTTTTTTGGTGCGATAAATTAAAACCCTCTTAGTAAAATTTTTTTTAATTTTGGGCCTTTTTTCTTTTAAGAAATTTTATGAAATTAATGTTGGACCCTTGGCATTTGCCTACCTTACAGGGGTAGAGACGGGCCTGAGTAGTCCCGAAAACTTGATCCCATATGGTTTGATTTGATACCATACAGGCATACACCGCCTACTGGAACAAATGATATTCACGGACCTCTGGCTTCAGTTTCTTGATCCAGACATGCTCTGATATGTTGTCTCAACCGGTGGTTGCTCTACCTGACTACAGCTTCGTTGGGGCTATCCACTGCTTCATTTATCCAAGAGAAGGACAAACTCTATTTGCTTCAAATCTCAAAGATGATGATCCTTATTCATTCCAATGCTCTCTGTAAATAAGGTATAACCAGTGTTCTAAAAAGCGGTCTAGGCGGTCGCCTTGGTCCCGACTAAGCGCTAGGCTCTCATGCGACGCCTAGATAACCGCCTTGACCGCCTAAAATTACATAGATCTTGTTTAATGTATTTTTTCAATTTCAATTAGAGTTTTATTTATATATATAGTTATAAATATTCATATATTGTTTAATATAAATATAAATAAATATTTTATCTAATTTTTATTTATAATTTCATAATTTTTAGTTTTATATAGATATTTTATATAACTTTTATATATAATATCATATTGATAATGTTTTATGTTATAAACGTCTAAACCGCCTAAAAAATCGTCTAGGCCCCGATTAGGCGTTCTAGGCGCTAGGCACTGGGTCACCGCCCGCTTAGCGCCTAACGCTTTCTTGAACGAGGATCACGCCTTGTGACGCGTTCATCAGACAGTAGCAGCAATAACCTTCACGAGTATAAATGAGTCTAAGATTGTATGCATAATATCAACCCACTCAACTTTCCCCCAAATTTCACAACTATTGAGTCTTTCAAGCGAAATCTCCGCACACCAAATTCTCGTCTTATAGCTGGAACCGTTACCATATGAAACATTAACGTCCCACATAGCCACTATCTTTCCACCATAATCTGCCAATCTAATCTGAGCGAGAGGAGGGAACTTGGGTAGTCCTACCAAACCCTTCAAATCTCTCCAGTTTTTTACCTGAAAGTCATACCACATGAGCGCTCTGTGAGCAGCAAAGTACAAAACATTCTCTATCTCACAATAAGAATGTGAACACATATGTCCAGATAACCGTGGTCCAAGGATGTGAACACATATCTCCGAAAGCCACCACGTTGAAGACATGCGGTATGAGCCGTCTTTTAAAGGAAGAAGACAACGCATTAATTTGAAAAATTGTTGGGCTTTATGGGCCGTTGCTTATTTGCAAGATTTTATAAGAGCTTAATATTGTAATATACAAAAAAAAAAAAAAAAAAATTCAAAACTTTCTTTCTCTGTTTTTCTTTAAGAACACAACAGATGATATACACTCATAATCACACACAAAAGAGACCCCCCAAAATCGAGCCTTAATCTCGTCAACTATCACTACTTAACTCACATGACCAATCTGTTCTTACATCTCTAAATAGATATCTAGAGTTGTCCCAAAAACTTGATTCGATACCATACACCGCTACTGGAACATATGATTAGTATTCAGGACCTCTGGCTTCAGTTTCTGGATCCAGATATGCTCTGATCTGTTGTCTCAACCGATGGTTGATCCACCTGACTACTGTTTGGAGGTTCAGCTGTCCTATTGCTTCTCCTCCATTTTGAAAACTCGACTAGACCTGTTGTACCGCTCATGGTGAGTCCAAACCCAACAATTGTGGCTAAGAGAATGGCCACAACCGGCTGCATGCGAACCTGCACAAGTATAACCGACATAGATTGAGAGTTAGAATACGCAACAGAGTTTTTTATTCTGTTCTTCACAGATAAAAACTTACCAATGTGAAGAAAACGTGAGAGAAAAAAACAACAAGACCGAACTGAGTTGTGGCATAAATCCAGACATATCTCTTCTGCACTGCACATCGATGACCACATAATCAATTAAACTGATAGCTTGAGTACTCAAAAACAACTGTTGGGAAGCAAAACTTTTGATGGGGAACTGTTTACTGTAAGCATTTACTTACCCATTGTTGTTGACGTCATCGAAGCAAAAAGACCAAGAACGCAAGAGAATGGTAAAGAAACTGCAATGGCGCCGGATTGCATTTTTGTAAGCTGTAAATAGTATTAGAACAAGACGATGTTACAAAAGCTTTATTCTAAGAAATGTAAGAATCAGAATTCACTAAATCTTACCAGAAGCTGCTCGAGAAAACAGAAGTATGCAAGCATGCTTACAATGACAAGAATTGGAACATCCTGCCATAAACTGAGAGGGCGAGAACCGGTCAATAATATACATAAATTTTGAATTTTTTCAAGAGGTATGGTTTTGACTTTTACTTGCCTGTAGTGTGCAGCCTCGGTATCTGGAGCTCCAATACTACCCCGAGAATTCTGCATGCGTAGAAGGGTCACAGGGAGATTCTGAACCTCTTGCTTGCACACATCACATGTTCGGTTTCCTTTAATGGTGAACCATTTGATTGTACATTCTTTGTGGGCAAGAGCTAGTTCCCCTCTACACATACATTCCATCTTGAAGGCTTCTGAATCTTCTCCCAATTCTACCAGGCAGATTCTACACACAGCTTCTTCTTCAGGAACATCTTCAGCGCCATCAACATTCGCGTCTGAAACATTTCACTAATATAAGGCACCGGGTTTGTTACAAGGATACAATCACAAAAATATCTAACTTGCATGTCTTTTGCCTTTAAACATCAAATGAAAAATAAGAAATAACCGTTAAGTTTAATAGTATTTCTGGTTGGCGTCATGTTTGGAGTTGGAATCACCCGAAAAACACCTAATTGCCTTAGACTTCCATCTTTGTTGAGTGCTGGGACAGAGCGTGAACGGTGGATCGGCAGTGGAGGCCCTTTTTTCTGTTGAGAAAACATTTTAATAAAAAAAAATTGGTCAAACCAACAATGAAGTGAAGCAGAAGATAACCTGGTTAGCTAAACTTATCTTACAAGCAAAATGCATCAATATACTCTACTGAGACCAAGGTGAAGTACGACACAAGAAAATGTCCCTTGCCAATGAGATAACAGCACAAACCACAATAGAATTCACATGGGAACCTAAATGAATCGATTCATCAAGTTACTCACCGTGGAAGTAACTATATCAACCGCAAATCTCCCGTGAGTGGACTCAGGATTTGAGTGAGCTATAGGGGTTACAGGAAGAGACTCAGTTTTCTTCAATCTTGGAGTTAAGATATTAGTGAGAGTCCATGTGGACCTGTCCCTGCTATTTCCTGAAGACGGGGAGGACACAAACCCCAAATCCGCGGCTTTCTCGATATCCACATTATTGCTGTTCCGGTTCTTGAAGCTTAACTTGGGGATTAGATTCTTCAGGCTATTAGGTTTGTTTCTTGAAGATGAAGAAGAGGAGGAGGGACTCAAGGATGCAGCACGTTGCCCGATTCTAGGGCTCGACATTGGAGAAAAGTTGACTCTTTTGGCAACAGGACTTGAAGTTAGAGATGCATTTCGTCTCAAAAGATCATCTCTTGCAGTGTCTTGAGGTGTTGTTGATGGTAAATCTAACTCAAGACCTCGCCTCCATAGGTCTCGGCCCGGTGATGATAGCTCTTGTTCTTCTGCTATCTCAACAGAATTTCCATCCTGCAAACACCAAGAAAGATCAATTTCAAATCCAGTTCGATCCTAGAAAAATAAATTAAAAGCCTAATTCTTTCATCAGGAGACTCGCTAAACGGAAGAATGAACGATCTACTAAACCCTAAACCCCTAAAATCATGGGAGATTGATGAAATTCTGAGGATAACCAACCAAATCAAAACCATCAGCAAAAAAAGTGAAATTAAACAAGATCAATATCAATGCAAGATACGATTGGAATGGAATTAAAAAGAGACCATTTGCAGAGGAGAATGATGATGTTGGTGAGACCCATGTTCTTCTTGTTGTCGAGCTTTATCATCCACCATCGAGCTCCCAGAAAATAGAAAAGCAGAGGAGAAGAAGAATCTGAGCTCTTAACAAAGAATGAAATTCATGTTGGTGAGACCCATGTTCTTCTTGTTGTCGAGCTTTATCATCCACCATCGAGCTCCCAGAAAATAGAAAAGCAGAGGAGAAGAAGAATCTGAGCTCTTAACAAAGAATGAAATTCAGAAGAGAAAAAATTGTAGGCAAGAAACGAACGTCAGGAACCCTTTGGAGGAAAAAGACAAGTCCCTCTTTCTGGGTTCCTGAAATTGAGATATCTGATCGATCATACACATTGCACTTTCAATTTATTTTAAGATATATCATTGTCCCATTTTCTTTTCTCGGCCTAAAAAAGGTTAAATTTGGTCCGTTTCTTCGTCCTTATTAGTATTATTTAATTTATTACAGCCTCGTATTGGTAAGTGGTAAGTGGTAAGTGGTAACTGGATATGTTTTGTCTACGGCGAGCATTTTAATTTTTAACAAATGTCTACTTCTTAAATTTTAGATACTTGATATTTAAACAAGGATAAAAGTTTTGTATACGTATTTAATTGTTAAAACTCAGCATTTTGGAATTTGGCAGGATCTCGGTTTTTCTCCAGCTTTATCATAACGTTGATCTTGTGTTTTCCATGTTTGAGTATCTGTCATGTTGCCACTATATCTTGTGTTCTCCATGTTTAAGTATCTGTCATGTTGCCACTATAATGGGTGGCTTCAAATGTCTGTGTTTTCTGCTCTTGTTCACCTGCCACTGCAGCTTCCGGCTGCGCAACTAGCTAAGTAAGAACCTACCTGTTTGTTGTTGTATCTAATGAAGAATGTTTCTAAGTATTGGGTCATTATGACTTCCAAATGATTTCGTAATCTCTATAGTATGAATTGACAATCACACATTTTGTTGTTAACATACAAGGATCAAACATGCCTATACTAATATATCAGATGGCATTTCAATCCATACTCGGCCGTGTTTGGCTATTCTGGTTCAACTGTTTCACCCTGTCCGGTGTTGTTCCCACTTCCGCTGTTACCGTGAACTTTTATCTCCAAAAGCCTTTCGACAGGTTGCCTGCAAATTGGGCATCGATTCGTTTGAAACCTCAATACCTTAGCGCATCCGCTGCACATACACTGCACCACAAAACCAAAACATTTAAGACATCTAAATATGTCCATCACACAGTAGTAATCATCAGCATTCACAAGAGATGAGCTTACCATATGTCTACATGGAAGAACAGTAGTGTCTCGTGGTTCAGACAAACATATCACACATTCTTTTCCCGGATCATTAGCATCATCAGCTGAATCCTCATCGCCCTCAACGGTATTCCCAATCCCATAAATCTCCTGCAACTCATATCTTGTTCCATTAACCCACAGTATCTGCTTCACCACTCTAATCTTAATCTCTCCTTTATCCTTCTCATAAACCGCTTGAGTAATCTGCGCATTCTTTTTCTTTGATCCCAACCTTTCTTCTTCATTCTCACCTGAGGGAGCTGCTTCTGCCTTAACCGCCAATGGATAGATATCTGTGTTCGCCGCCTCGAACAGCTCAACGTCCTCAAAGACAGAAAAGTCTATACCAGAACCAGATGATTGTTTAAACTTCTGACCAAGTCCTTTCTCGAAATCTAGGGTGATTGGTGGCAGAATATCTTCCTTGGTCGCTGTGAGATTGCAATCTTCGGATTCTTTAGCAAAGAAAATGACACTAATCCTGTTTTCCACAAGTCCAACATAACATAAGCTTAAGTCAATACACATGAAGATTTGATCAACAGGTTTTGAATATTGGGCTTAAAAAATCAAAACTTCCTAAATTTTGTTCACTAGAGAAGTCAAATTGCAACAAGAAGACCATAAATCTCAGCTTATGGATGGTCACGAGGAAGAAGACAAATTCACGTGTTATCTGCTCTGTTTCATTTTTTCCAAATCGATCACGAAATCAACGAAAGGGAGAAAGTGAAATCTACCTTCCGGAGACGGTTGCATCAAACGTGAAGGAGACGAGAAACCGACCCGGATTATCGGGGTCGGGTTCAAGCCTGAGAGTCTCCTTCTTAAGATTAACGTCGTTACGAATCGTGACGGCTTTCTGGTGTTCAACGTAAGGAGTCGGGGGAGCCATCATGTGACCAGCAAAAGAGTATCTGGCCATCGCCACGGGGGCCCAAGAGTGGTTGTGGTAAGGATGATGGAGGTGGTGGTCGTACGGCGGAAGAGGTGGACCCGACATGGTTCCCGGCGGAGGATGGTGGATGTAAGAAGCAGGGTACTGGTAAACCGGATTAGGATTAGGATTTGGATACGGAGTAACGGCGGCGAAAACGATGGGATTAGCTTGGATTTCTGTAGCTGGAGGTGGTGGAGGAAGAGAAGAAGAAGGAGGAGGTGGTGGTGGTGGAGCCGCCGTATGGTTTCGCCGTCGACGGCGTCTACCTTCACCACCGCTGCTGCTAATGTTTCCCATATGATTATTGGCGTTAAACCCAAATCAAAAGACAAGATCTTTTGGTGACCCAAATGATCAAATCGCAGAAATTTTCTAAGTTTGTGGGTGGATCGGAGATCCGGGGATTAATAATATTGGAGTGGAATGTAAGAAATTGAAAAAGCAAAAAGCAGAGAGATTTTTGATGAATTAAGAAAGAAAGAATAAAAAAAAAGAGAGAGAGATAAGAGAGAATAATTTAGGGGAAGAAAGTGGGTAATGAGATGATGATGATGGGGTCGGTTGGCCAAGAAGCTCCACTCATGAACATAAAGACCACCCTTTTCGATGGTGTTTATGTTCCCAAAGCTTCTTTTTTTTTTCTCAGGACTTTTTTTCTTCTTGTTGTTAATTGTTTGTTGTAATTATTATTACGTTGATTATAGGAGTTTTGCCTTTAATTTCAACAGGACTGCTTAAAAGAGTTAAGGTGTTATCTGACGACAAAAAATAGAAAGAAAGGTGTTATCTTTTTCATTAGAAAACATTACCATTTTATTACGTATAGGCTATAGATTAGGATTAATTTGTTCATGCGTTTAAATATGGTTATATTTTTAGAAACTGTTTCATTAAACTGGATCTCCTACATTTGTCTTTTTTTTCTTTCTAGATTCGTATTGTCCAACTTGATAAGTCCAAATAATATTTTACGAGTGAAGAGAAGTTGTCGATTATTGCATAGTTGTGTATGATTAAAGAGTTAAAAGTCACTTATGCTGTCCGAAATGTCTACTAGACATTATTGTCTACTTTCCGCTTCTAGACTTATATTGCCTAAATAGTAAATTTCTAGCAAGTAATATGTAGTTTAATACATATTCCTAACAAAGTAGGCTATACTATATTTTTATTTTAAACCTATAATAAAACTACTTTTTGCCTACATAATATTCTTATATAGTCCGAAAGATGAGCTGATATTATGGAATTCATATCAAAGCTTGTTTTGTCGTCTTTGAATAATTGTGTTTAAGTTTAACCCAAAATACAAAACAAACAAAAGAAATAGGTGTATACTTTAAAAATTAGTGTTTTCTACAAAAGCATAACCCTTGTTGACCAAAAAAAGCATAAGTCCTAATAGAGTTTCTATAATTAATTTCCAAAACCATAAGCTAAAATTACTATGAATTTAGACTCAAGATCACCATTAGCTATAAACCTCACAAAGAATACAAATACAATAAACATTCTTTCAAATGAAGACTATGTGATCTTCATATATATATTCTATATTCAATTGCCGGATTAAACTGTAACTATGGGATGTTTGATATTTACGTGAAACTACAAGTTGATAACTGTTGATTTTGATTATAATCGTGATCATATACAGATAGATATCATATTGAAACATTCCCATACGAAGGTAGTGGTATGATGCGAAATCAAAAATAAATAAATAAAGAGACATAATAGAATCACATACCTAACCACTCGCACACACTTTCATTAAGCAATTCCAAAAAATGGACATAAATAATTGAGAAAAATAAATGGGAATCATTCTAAAATCTTATTATAATACTTCCTCCGTTTTGTTTTAGTCGTCGTTTGAGATTTTTTCACACAAATTAAGAAAAACATTAAATTTTCTGTTTTACCCTTTATTAATATATTTTATAAAAAAATTCATTGGCCAAAACATTAAAACAGTATGGACAAAACTAGAATTTTCACCAAACATTTGCATTGAAAACCTAAAACGACAACTATTATGAAACAAAATTTAAATCCTAAAACGACAACTAAATTGAAACAGAGGGAGTATTATATAGTGGGAAACGGCAGACGGTAGATGGATCAAGTTGGATATGTAGTGTAAAATCTGTAAAATCAATTTTATTAAACTATAATTATGTAGACCTATATGATCGTGACACACATATATATATATATATATATATATATATATATAAAAATCAAACTTTGTTCTTTGTTGATGCATTTTGAATATAATTTGCAGGATAACAAATATGACATCGAACGTAACATCTTCTTGGAACACCAATGTAATGTACATATGCAAAGACTTTCTTAGGTTTAAGTCACTAAGATTGAAATACATCGAGGTCAGGTGTTCTTAAGAAGATCCTTCGTTAGTTAGTAAGTTTGTTTACATTGTCTTCATGATACTAGCTAGCCGATAATTTTATTTTATCTGAAGTCCTCAGCAACGTGTCACGTGCTATCCATGAATTCATTTGTAGCCAAATACTATTCATTAACTTCATTTTTGTCGTTTTCCTCAGAGGTGATGTTATACCCTAACAAGATTTGTATTTAAGTGGAACAAATATATATGTTAGATCTAAACATACAGTATTGTGTGGTTCGTAATGAGGAATGATATATGTCAACGAGGGATGTACATGTGTACTTTGTGTAAGATCCCAAAAGAGAAATGGTTTCCAATTTTGTAACGAAAGCTCTAGTATGACTAAAAAAGCTCTAATTCAATTTGTCTGAAGTATTATTAGTATGTTATTTTCATATTTGTATCCTTTTTTAGATTCTGATCATCAATGGAGAACTATAATACTACTATTATAGAGAGTAAGCGTCATGTGAATTTTGTAGTCTGACAAATTGCGTGCATGAACCAAGTAGCTAAATGTTAGTTGAAAATGGTTAAACACAATCACTACATAAAAAAAGAATGTTCATCTACATATATATATATAGTAGACAAAATGTGTGCATGAGCTAATTAGCTAAATGTTTGTTAAAATAAATACAAAAACACTACATAAAAAGAAGCTGTCCATAAATTAATTTCCTTCTTTAATTCCTATAAACTGCTAACAAAGCATTTGAACTAGCGCCTCTTTAGTTTGAAAGATTCATTAACCAACTTTAGAAATTTTAGCTGAGAATAGTGTAATTAATCACAATTAATGTTTTTGGATAATGGTTCCTCTCATTGAAAATTATTTTCTCAAATCTTGAATGTATCTTTGATTATACAATTTCACCAGAATTCATAAATAAAAGAATAATAACACTCATTAAGAAAATTAGAAAAAGCTAGAAGATCAATGCATCTCTTGCGACCTGTTCCAACCAATTCGCAAGTTCCGACATCGTTGGTCGTTGATTCGGATCCTCGCGTACACACAACTCCGCTACGTCAGCAAGTTTCAACAACGGCTCCACGTTTCTCGGCAACGCAATATACTTATCCACAATCGCCGCTGCTCTGCCTTCTCTGATCACCGTAACTGCCCATTCAGCAATCTCCGGCGGATCACAGTCCCTATCATGACGTTTCCTTCCGGTTAAAATCTCTAACAAGACAACTCCAAAGTCATAAACATCTCTTTTGATGTCCAACTTCTTCTCGTTCGACGATGTCACGAGCCCGAAATCCGCAACCCTCGCCACCCATTCCGCGTCCAATAGTACATTCGAAGACTTCACATCGCCATGAACGATTCTAGGCTCAGCTTCATTGTGTAGATACTCAAGACCTTTTGCGGTTTGCATAGCGATTTTGATCCTTAAGCTCCAACTCAATGGCGAAAACCCACTGTGTAGATGATCGTGAAGCGTACCGTGAGGCATGTACTCGTAAACAAGAAGCCTCTCTCCCATTTCGGTCGAGTAACCGAGGAGATTCACAATGTTGCAATGCCTAATGTTGCAGAGAATCTCCAATTCTGTCTCAAATTCTCTAGTGTTTGTGTGGATTATGGTTGCTGCGTTTGCTCTCTTCACCGCTACTTGCCTCCCGTCCGGCAACAAGGCTTTGTAGACAAACCCATAGCTTCCTCTGCCTAACTCATTGAACTCTTTAAACCCGTTGGTCGCGTCTTTAAGCTCAGAGAGTCTAAACACTTGAGCAAAAGGCGTTACCGATGGAGCAGGGGAGACATTTTCAAGTGGCTCAGTGTCTAAATCAGGCTTTCCTATGCAAGATTTGAATTGATTCGCTGCGCCGTCTTCTTTATTAGGACTAGTGATGATAACCCGTGGAACGATACAGCAACCAATTATGAGGATCAATAGAGCGGATGCGCAAGATCCGATGATGAGAACAAGTCTCTGTAGTTGATGCCAATGCTTATCTGGAAAATTGCTGTTATGAAGCTTACATATGTCTGAACAAGAACTGTTTTGACAGAGCGAGCAAGGCGTACATATCCGATCAGAGTTCTCGGTGCACGAACTTGACAAGAAGAATCCGTGAGAGCAATCCGAGCCGCAAGGTGAACAGACCATTAACTCTCTCCTTACACACAAACTCGTTAGGTCAGGTTCATTTAGGATACTTGCGTTGAAAGCAAACTCTTTTTCATAACAAGGACCAGCTCTACACATCCCTGGACTGCAGAGCTCTAACGGAGGATCGTAAGCTAATGTCGACGAACCGTTAACCATCCAGCAATCAAGAACAAGATCCTCTTCTCTTATACCACAAACAATGAAATCAGATGAAGCAATTGCCTTAAATCCGGAACCTTTTGGAATCAAAGAGAAATTAGAGTTTCCCCAACATTCAACCTCATGATTATCCTCACGGATTCCGCAGAAATGGCGAGGACCAGCGGTTAGCGAGACGAATCGAGAATCATTCATCGGAGAATCAACAAAAGATTCATCTTCTCCCCAACATTTTACCTCCCGGGATGAGTTTAGAATCGCACAAACGGAGTTTTTTCCGGCGGCTAAGACTTGGAAGTTATCAGAAGTTGTGTTAAACCCTAAATTAGAAGAATTGGGGCCAAAACAGAGCAATCCACCATCTCTGATTCCACCACAGCTAAACCCATCACCAGAAACGATATTGTTGAAGACGAGATTACGAACAATCTGATCATAGAAGTTTGGATTCTCTTTCGCGATTAAGCTGTTGTTATTCGTAGCTCTTGCTATCTCCCAACAATCAACAGTCCCAGAATCGTGATCCGAATAGTAAGCTCCTCTAACAGCACAGACATGGCTTGTTCCAGCAGCAATCTGAGAGTAAGCAGTAGTCCGGTAAGCTAGAGGGACAAGATCCATACCTGAAGAAGACCCAAGTGAACTAAAACAAAACGCCTGAGAAGTGTTCGACAAAATGCCGCAGAGAAACCCGTCTCCACCTGAAAGAACCGCCATGGACGGAATGTTGTAGCTTGCAGAAGTAGAAGAAGCAAGAGACGAGGAAGAAGAAGAAGAAGACGGAGAAGATGGAGATGAATAGTTTTTACCCCAGCAGATAACATCTTGACGACCACTAGCATCAATGGCGCAGAAGAAAGCAGAGCCACCGAACGCCGCCGCGATTGGGCCAGAGGATCCAAATCCGGATCCGGGTTTGGGCAAAAACAGGAGAATGAGAGAGAGAAAGAGGAGAAAGAAATGGGCTTCCATTGGAGATGAAGTTCATGAACTGAAAGCAAGGAAGAAGATTGGCATAAGCTGCCATTTGACAGTGTGATGGCTAACGAACAGAGAACGTGGGTGGCGTCCTCATTGGAGATGATAAAAAGTATAAATATTTTATTGAACAACTGATTACTGTATCTACATAATTATCACATTCATGCATGTAAATATTTACGTATATATTCCTGGGTTTTTTTGGGGTAAAAAAGGTATATAGTTGATAGATTGAAAAGAAAATTATTTCCAAAAAGAGAAAATCTAATGAATTTTGCCTAAAGGGGACAATAAGATCTAATCCCAGCGATTCCATGTCAACAACTTGATGGAAAACTTTTTTTTTTTTTCTTTTTTTGGAGCTCACCGTCATTGTCAACTTGTCAACATATATGAAATGGATAATATAGTAGGTGACAAAATAGAAATAAAACAGGAGTCAATAATAAATTTTCATGAAATTTTAAATTATTGAGCAAATGATGTGTGGGGTTATAAGTTCGGCGTTTTTGGTGCATATAATTCCAAAAAACTTGCCTCGGTGTTATAAACGCAGATCCTTTTTCCGATCTTACAATGTTTTCTTTAAATCACTTGCTTCTCAAAATGTGTTTGGGTGTATACTCTAAACTTTATCCAAGAGTCTGTAACACTTAGAACTAGCCGACTAAAATGAATTAAACATTAGCTCTTGCTTCTTCGATAATAGTAATAGTATTGTGGATTATCAGGATTAATCTGATGGTAATTGAGATTTAGACTGTGGAACCAAAAAAAAAGAAAAGTCTTTGAAATTGAATGGTAAAAGCCCATTTACGAGCCCATCAAAACGGAAAACATAACAAGAGAAAAAAAAAAAACTAAAGCACTAAAAAAAACTCAAAAGTCATAGACGGAGAACAAGGTAGAGAGTTGAATTTTTATGAATACAGTAATCCCCTAAAGTGACGCCATCTTCAAGCTGTTTTCCGAAAAATATTAGCCTCTGTTGGACTGGTGTGATCCCTTCCTTAACTTGGATCTTTTCCTTCACATTGGCGATTGTGTCTGAGTTTTCAACTTCCAACATTATGGTTTTTCCGGTAAGGGTCTTGATAAAAATCTGCATACCACCTCTCTGAAGAAACAGCTGATGGATAGTAGATTCTTTCTGGATGTTGTAATCTAGTAGCGTTCGAGTACCCACAAGCACTCTACCACCAAAGATAAGGCTCTGTCTGTCCAGAGGAATTCCTACCTTGTGTTGGATCTTAACTTTTACATTATCAATGGTGTCTGAGCTCTCAACTTCTAGGGTAATGGTTTTACAGGTAGGGGTTTCACCGGAAAATGCATACGTCTTGACGAATATCTGCATACCATGGGGAATATGAAAGAAAAGGCGAAGGGTTGACTCATTCCGGATGTCGTAATCCGCAAGAGTACGGCCATCCTCGAGCTCGTGACCGAGAAAGATCAGTCTCTGCTGGTCCGGGGGTGAACCTACCTTGTCTTGAATCTTAGCTTTAACACTTTCAATGGTGTCTGAGCTCACAACTTCTAGGGTAATGATTTTACCGCCAAAGAGTTTCACAAATATCTGCATACCAAGGACAAGGTGGAGTGTTGACTCTTTCTGGATGCCGTAATCCGCAGGAGTACAGCGATCCTTGAGCTCTTTACCGAGAAAGATCAGCCTCTGCAGGTCTGGTTGGATCCCTTCTTTATCCTGAATCATGGCCTTAACATTTTCGATTGTGTCCCAGCTCTCAACTTCCAAATTTATTCTCTTTCCGGTAAGGGTCTTGACAAAAATCTGCATCCCACAACGGAATCTAGTCACCAGATACAGAGTTGATCCTTTCTGGATGTTGTAATGTGCTAGCGTTCGACCACCCTCAAGCGGTTTACCAGCAAAGATAAGTCTATGTAGGTCCATAGGAATTCCTTCCTTTTCTTGGATCTTAGCTTTAACATTGTCAATGGTGTCTGAGCTCTCAACTTCTAGGATGAAGTTTTCACCGGTAAAGGTATTATAGGGAAGGTTTTTCACAAATATATACATATTACCGCGAAGACGAGTGCCAAGGTGAAGGGCTGACTTATTCTGGATGCCGTAATCGGCAAGAGTACGGCCATCCTTGGTGAAGAGCTCTTCACCGTGAAAGCTGAGCCTCTGGTGGTCCGGGCGTAAACCTTCCCTATCTTGAATCTTCGCCTTGACACTGTCAATGGTGTCTGAGCTCTCAACTTCTAGGGTGAGGGTTTCACCGGTAAAGTTTTTACCGGGAAAGGTTATCACAAATATCTGCATACCACCGCGAAGACGAAGGACAAGGTGAAGTGTTGACTCTTTCTGGATGCTGTAATCCGCAAGAGTATGGCCATCCTCGAGTTGCTTACCTGCAAAGATCAGCCTCTGCTGGTCAGGAGGGATTCCTTCTTTATCTTGGATCTTGGCCTTGACGTTGTCAATTGTGTCTGAGCTTTCGACCTCAAGAGTTATGGTCTTTCCCGTAAGAGTCTTCACAAAGATTTGCATGCCACCTCTCAACCTTAGAACCAAGTGGAGAGTTGACTCTTTCTGGATGCTGTAATCAGCCAAGGTAAGGCCATCCTCGAGCTGTTTACCCGCAAAGATAAGTCATTGCTGGTCTAAAGGAATGCCTTCCTTGCCCTGGATCATTGCCTTGACATCATGGATGGAGTCGGAGGTTTCAACATCAAGTGTTATGGTCTTTTCTGTAAGAGTCTTTGCGTAGATTTGGATTGTCATCTGTAAACAATTTTTTACGGGAGAGAACAATCTCCACGGAGGATTTTGAATGGTAAGAGCCAAAAAGGATGAAGAGAAGAGATCGGAGAAACAAATACCTTGAGAGAGAGAGAGTACTTCACAGAAAACTTCTGCAGACTGATCAGGACTGTTTGCGAGAGAGATAGATTTGAGTAGATTTGGTTTATAATAGGGAAAATGGGATAATCTGCTAATATCTAGTTGGTTTAGATTTGAATCTGCTTTTGATAATTATAAAATATTCGAATTCATCTGTTAATTTAATAATTTGAAATTCATTATTATTTTGTTTGTAGCTTTGGTTATTTTATAAAATTAGAAGGTTCTAGGGGTGGCACTTTAGACTTAGTATCTGATGAACTCGCTTGGAAAATGCAATATTCGTGAATTGCTTAGTATTTAGACTTTAATTAGAGTAATAATATTCCACTCTCCAAAAACAATTCCAGCATTGCACAAAGCTATATATATATATATATAAAATCAAACCTCTACTACCAAACTTTAAGAGTATGCATGCAGAATTCAATTATTAGAGACTTTCAAACCGGAAGACTCACTCATAAAAGTTGCTCATCAAAGAAATTGAAGAATGATTGATGTCCATTCTTCAATTATGTGTGGCCATGATTAAACTCATGTAAGCAGACTTCTCGCCAGATGCTCCCGAGCTGTTGCTAGCGCTTGAGTCAGTGTCTGCAATTCCAAAATGTAAACAATGGGTCCACATTATAAGTGCACCTTTCGTGTTTATAGACAAACGGTTCTACATCAAGACTATTGCTTTCTTCATAGGGAGATGTAAGTTGTAACAATAATAGTCAAAAGTGTCATTACCTGTTCAGAGAGTGAACCACTAGCTTCTGTGCTCTGCATTGCTACTTTCCCCGCAATGACGTTTGGATCCGTTTCAAGAACCACCCTTAACACATATTCCATAATAAGCCATACTCAAACAATAGCTAAATGCTAAGATATATGGTAAACGCTCAAAAAAGGTTCAACAAATCTTTAACATGCTTAAGATTTCATAAAATTGTCGTGTAGTGCTCAAATATTTAACTTGCATACCCCTGATCGACCATTTCATCAAGGCATAGAAAGATGAGATCCAAGTTCTCGAGGGCTTCCATCTTTTCCACATTGTTCCTGGTAAAGACAAAAGGGATGCATCGTTGATCAATAAATAAAGGCATAATTAAGTTGTCAAGTCAAACAAATACCTCAAGAGAAGTGCAACAGCATCAAAAAAGCCTTGAAGAACAGAAGCTAAAATGAGCTCGTTTTCATTTTCACCTCCAGTAACAAAGAAGTGAAGGTCCTGGGCAAACTTATAGACAATAATATTGTTGTCCAACAGTGTGATCTCAGCTGCACATAAACGTTAAAAACCAAACATCTATAAGCGATTTGAAAGAGACAGTATGTATATACAAAGTCAGGAAACATGAAAGAAATTGTGTAGATGAATAACATAATCTCGTCTTACCTTCTGTGCGAGCATTGGTCTTAGAGGTCTTTGAGAATACGTATTTCTCAAAACTTAACTTGGCGGCATTAGTTTGCCAGTCATCCGAGTAATACTTGACAGCCACACGCTTTCCTTCAGAGTCTAGAAGAAGAATGTTCTTTACCAAGGGACAAGAATCCTATTCAATGAAAATTGGAAAGTCAGTAATTAAGTTCCAGGGGAGAGGTGAAGCAGGTTATCCAACAAAGATCATGTATAGTCAAACTCCTACAAAGCTATATCAACTACTCAGCATCTATGGCTTAACAAAAGATGCCATCCATACATGTGCTAAGATTATTTTACGACCACGAAAAATAGAATGGCTGAATTCAGCAGATGGAGTCCAGGTTCTGATAAAAGAAAGAGTTATCTAGCAGAGAAAAAGTTACGAATACATGTTGCACATAAGCAGAACCTTGATTGGCCACTAGAAAGGTTAATCTCGAAACAGTCACAAAACGCAATTTTCAAAAACATTGTTCGCCACCAAACAGATGTAACAGGAAAAGGAATCTTACCACAGTGATTAGAGATAAACCAATAAGTTTTTCATCAACAATTCTTCTCAAGTCACACCGCCTTGGCAACTTATGTTTAGTAAATGAAAAGTAGAATATAAATGTATAGAACCAAAAGTTCTCTAATATCACACTCCAAAGTATTACATGAGTGGTCGCATATCATAAGCACTATATTATGGATTGCATTACGGATATTGCTAAGTATGATTGCAGCAACAAGGGATTCTTACAGAAGACGCGATTCAATGAGATATAACGCATATGTACTTACATGAGACATTGTTGGAAGAGTTCAAATGTACCTGAAATAGTGATAAACTAGCTGTTATCGCCATTACAAACACAAAACCAAGTATTTGAGCAATTAACCAATAAAATTTTCGATTTTGACAAGAAATTAGAAACTTCAACCCACACTCATTTAAATAGTTATTCTAGTCACTGGTAAAAGCTCATACACGAGAAGGAAAACGACATCTATCACCAAACATTATAAAATCTAAGTTACACCACATAAGAGTATATAATAAGCTCAAATGTGACATTATGGTAGTAGTAAATGTAATGTAGATGATCTTCATGACAAGATAGCTACAGAAACATGGGGATTGACGTAATTAATAGACAAACGAAATCACGAAAATTCGGAGAATCACATAACCAAGCACAACAGATGAGAACGCAAGAAAATTTCTCCAATCAAAGTGATCCGTTACACAAATGATAAATACCAATGGATCGGATAATCATAATCCAAAGGATCAGGGAGGCAAACACCGGAATAATGGATCGGAGACGAAGTAATGGAGGATTCAAATGTGAAAAGCGCATGATGGAGACAGAAGAAATCGGAATACCTTGAGAGAGCTCGTTTCGCGTTTCAGTGTCACTGCTCGGGATCCTAGATCTGATCTCACGGACCGGTTCTTAAATTTTATTGATATCCGGTTTGGTACAACACTCTTTAACTATAGTGCATACACTTTTTTTCTGGAAATTATATAAATATGTATATTTTTTTTGGTAGGAGAATTTAAATATGTATATGAATTAGCGAATTTACGCGTCCATTTTTCTAAAAAGAGCCAAGCTTACTTGTGCATATTTAAAATATTCATATTAAAAAGTCATATTTTATTTTATTAAAATCTTTTTCCACGTGGAAATTTATCCATGGTTTTTTAAGAACATAGAATCATAAACTGTTTATGTTTCTTATTTTTAGATACTAACTTTGTGCCGTTTTACTTCATTGGAATTGAATTTCTCATTAACTACATGTCGATATAGGAACATATCTTACTCAGTCCCAATACTTACCTAGGCTCAATGGAAAGAGATACCCAACCTCTTTGGGTTTATGAAAGCAAAAAGATGGTTAGACGTGAGGTAAGTTACTTCAGGTCCTTGCGTTCCTAGATTATATTACGAAATCATTATGAATGACGCTAACAACAAATTGCGAGACTGTCAGATAGTTTCTTTGAAAATAAAGATCGACGAGAAGAGCGACTTGATTAGTGTTTACAGCAACGGTAGCAGAATTTCGGTCGAGATTAATGAGGACGAAATTTACTTGCATGATATGCTATTTACTAGTACAAGAGCCGGTTTAGGTGCTAAGCTCACCAATATCTTCTCCACTTAATTCGCAATAATCACAACAAACGGGAAGAACTCGTACGAAAAAGTAACCAAATTGATTTGTTTATGTGGTGAGTGATGAATCACATTTTCAGTAAAACTTCTATAAATTAATAATATTAGAACCTGCTATTTATTAATTTATAATAGTATTAATTTATTTATTAATTAATATTTATAGAAAGTTTTGTTTTAATTGTTAACACTTTTTATAAAATATGAGTTAAAACAATATGATATAAATAAAATTAATGTTTGGATGTTATAAATTTTATAAGTAAGATTTAAATATTTAATATTTGGAAGAGAAAACAATTTTTTTTTAATAAATAATAAAGATTATAAAATTCACATATACAAACGACATTGGTTAAAAAACCATCATTAATAGTATAATTCATTAATTCTTTCCAATTTCTTCACCACCTTCCTTAAGTAAACAGAACTAGCAATTCTCATAATGGTGGAACGAGACCCGTAGAGTCTTCGTCGTTTCAGTATTTTAAGACTGGTTACTAGAAGTTATCTAGATCCTAGACTTGAATGGAATTTGATATGACCGACCGGTTATCAAAATTTATCGATATCCGGTTTGGCACAAATTCCCTTTTATCTTATCAAAAACTCCTTTTCCACGTGGAAATTTAACCATGGCATGTGCCGTTTCTTATTTTTAGACAATGACTTTGTGCCGTTTAGCTTTGATCAGAAACTACAAGGCGTTAAAAGAAATGTTCTCTTCTTCTCTGCTGGAGCTAGAGAAAGTATAAATGTAAACTTTTTCAGGTCCAACGCAGCAAAAAGTCTCCTCTTTTCTCTTTCTCTCTCTCTTTCCTCTTTGCGTCCTTCAGAGGCTGGAAGCGATCACCATGGCAGCATTTCTCGCGAGACGGCTTATCGGTAACAGATCGAGCCAGATTCTCGGGACTTCGAATTCTAGCTCCGGTGCGTTCATTTCCGTTTCTAGGGCTTTCTTCTCCTCCACCACTCCGATCAAAGCAACTCTCTTTCCCGGTGATGGGATCGGTCCCGAAATAGCTGAATCTGTCAAACAGGTGCCTTTTTATAATCTGTTTTCTTCTTTGTTCGTTCATGTGTATTGTTGGAACAGAAGATGTCGTCATTGCTAGTTATAGAATGTACGAGTTTGATCGTGTCTTGCATAATTTGAGACGTGTTCGAAATTTTGTTTATTTAGTTTATTGTTGATGATGTCTCTGAAAATGTTTTGTCTTTATGCCGATCCAGGTGTTTACTGCCGCTGATGTGGTCATTGATTGGGACGAACAGTTTGTTGGTACTGAAGTAGATCCTAGAACCAATAGTTTCTTGACATGGGAAAATCTTCAATCTGTGCTTAAAAACAAGGTTGGTTTGAAAGGACCAATGGCAACGCCAATTGGAAAGGGTCACCGTTCCTTGAACCTTACTCTTAGGAAAGAGCTGAATTTGTATGCCAATGTTAGGCCTTGCTACAGTCTTCCTGGTTACAAAACCCGTTATGATGATGTTGATCTCATTACCATTCGTGAAAACACGGAAGGAGAGTACAGTGGGCTTGAACACCAGGTAAGTCTGTTGCTCTGTCATTTTAGTGAATCTGTATCTAGTATCATTTTCAGAGACATGGTGTTAATTTGTCATTTTTATTTGCTAGGTTGTCAAGGGTGTGGTGGAAAGTCTTAAAATTATTACCCGTAAGGCGAGTATGAGAGTTGCTGAGTATGCCTTTCTTTATGCCAAGACTCACGGAAGGAAGAAAGTTTCAGCAATTCACAAAGCCAACATTATGCAGAAAACTGATGGTCTTTTCCTGCAGGTCTGCTCATATTGGAACTCAGAATACATTAACACTTCTCAATTAGGGGAACAAAGCGATTTTCTAGTCTCTCGCTAGCTTCTTTTTCTTAACCTTTGTTCTGAGTATATTTTGTATTTGCTTCCTTCTTTGCAGTGTTGTGATGAGGTTGCTAAGAAGTATCCTGAGATATATTACGAGAAGGTTGTTATTGACAATTGCTGTATGATGGTAAGCTACAACATGATTTCCACCCTATCTTTTGTTTTAAATTATGTTAAGATCAATCTCATAGTTAATTAAGTTAGTGGTTGGGATAATCTTGTTGATTTTGGAGGTTAGATTTCCCCGCAACCCATACTTGGGTCTGCTTTTCGCTATTTTTACTTATGGAACAAAATGCTTTCTTGTAATGTGGAATATGGGATTGATAATCTTAATTCTGGCAGCTTGTGAAAAACCCAGCACTTTTTGATGTCTTGGTGATGCCAAATCTCTATGGAGATATTATCAGCGATTTGTGTGCCGGACTTGTTGGGGGACTAGGACTGACTCCTAGGTAACATTTCTTCCTTCATCTCGCAGAATATTGTCTAGTATGAAAATGAGGCAATCATCTTATGATTTTATTATGTTTTGTTACAGTATGAATATTGGGGAGGATGGTATTGCCCTTGCTGAAGCTGTTCACGGCTCTGCACCTGATATTGCTGGAAAGGTTAGTCATCATTCTTAGATGTTATCATCGTTTTAAATTCGTGTGATGCATTTAGTTGTAGTTATTATTAGAGTAAAATACGATTTAGACAATGCATTAGTGCAGCATTACAGATTTTGACCAATTTAAGTGAACTTACTTTTACCCTAAAACCAAGTATGATAGAAGCTACTCCTGAGAGAAGATTCTTCATTTCTCTCTGCTCTGCATTTTCTTAGTTGAACATTCAGAGGCTTTCATTGTAGGTGGGATCATTGTCTAGTTTCTACTGTTTAAAGGTTCTTACTGGATGATCGTGCTTGTAGTACTTGAATGGTGTTCATAACTGGCCTACCTAGCATTAAGGGTAAACTGTAAACGAGTCTATAATATACATCATGTTTTAAAGAATCTCTGCACAATGGGTTTAGATGTTCTTAACTTATGATCCAAAATTATGTTCTTCTTTTCGGTGTTGTATAGAACCTGGCGAACCCAACAGCTTTGCTACTGAGTGGAGTGATGATGTTGCGGCACCTGAAGCTCAACAAACAAGCAGAGCAAATCCACAGTGCCATCATCAACACAATAGCCGAGGGAAAGTATAGAACCGCTGATCTCGGAGGTACCTCAACCACAACCGATTTCACAAAAGCCATCTGTGATCATCTCTAAACACCTGTAAAAACCAGAATTCTTTCTTTACTCTTACTCATTCGCCATTGGATCTTCCTCTTGGATTTTCACTCCAAAAATTTTCTACTTATTGATTCTCTTCCTAAGAGGAGAAACAAAGCCGCCATTGGCTTTAGACATTGATTTGTGTTTTCCTTAACATTTGAAGTTCTTGCAGAGCTGTATTTACTTCTTCTGCCTTTAAGATATAGATATTGGAAGAATCCATCAAAAAGGTTTTTGTGAACACATTTACAATTTGTGAATCTTGCCTGAATTGTTTGGCGTTATGTCTTAATCTCTGTGAATGAATCTTCAACAATAATAATATCGTGCCTTTTTCCTTGCCTGAATTGTTTGCCTATTCTCTGTGAATACACAACTCTCAAACCCTGAAAAATGAAAACTTTCAATGCTGAAAGTAACCAACGTGGATGCGTCAGGACTTATCAATGCCGCCGACAAATTCAATCTTTTCCTATTTATTTGTAAATTGCAATGCTATCACATTTGGTTGTCTCATTGTTTTTAAACTCTCTCTTAAATAAACAACAACTTATTAGAATGTTAATGTTCTTACAACAAGATCCAATAGACTTTTGGACATGTGTTGACAAATTTTCTCAAGTGGGTTGGTGGGATTGGGACTTATAGCTGCATTATACAACAAAACTACTCTAATCAATTAATTTGTTACTCACAAAACACAAGTATTTTTGTTTCAGTTTTCTTTTCTCTACAAATGAATCAACTACACTAAAATTTAGTTTAATTTAGAAATTCTAATGGCAAATTGTGCATGATTTTTAGACAATAAATGCATTAAAAAGTAAAATAAAAAATAATTGTAGAAAGAAGAAGAATCTATCTTTGGTATACCTACTTTGGTTTTCCACCTATTATAAACACAACAACACTTGTTCACTCACCAAAACACAACACTTGCTCTCTCCATTACCAGATCTGAATCTCTTCCCTTTCTCGAAAATCCTTGACAGATAATCATCCATGGCTTCCTCTGATTTCGATGGTATCCTTTTGGGAATGGGAAACCCACTCCTCGACGTCTCTGCCGTCGTCGACCAAGAGTTTCTCGACAAGTAAGCTCAGATCCTGATTGTTTTCGTTCGGATCTAGATTGATTGTGTAAGATTTTCTTCTGGGTTATCTGAATTCAAATGTTTTCCTCTGGATTTGTGGCAGATACGACATCAAATTGAACAATGCGATTCTCGCTGAGGACAAACATTTGCCCATGTAAGCTAATCACTTTTCTCAATTTTATCTTGCATTTGAATTCAAATGGTGATAAAGTGGCTTGATTAGTATTTTTTACTCTTCAACTTGTTCTCTAATCCATGTGGATATGTATATATGGAATCTCTATAGAATTTTGATTTGATCACTTCTATGCTTAAGGGAAACAGACACAAGTTTGGTGATTTTTTTCATTGGCCTTAAAGTGATTCAGACAAATAAAAAAGAGTTTCACTTTCTTGATGCGGTCTGAACATGACATCGACTATTTTTCACCTACTCTTTGTTTATTCACATGATAATTGGTATGCTTAGGTACGATGAAATGAGCCAGAAGTTCAATGTTGAATACATTGCTGGAGGTATATCATCTTTTGAGCTATTATTCGACATTTGGTGTTAGTGTGTATTAGCAGGATTTTTGACATCTTCTTGATTTCGTTTGGTTTTCAGGTGCTACCCAGAACTCAATCAAAGTGGCCCAGGTAAACGATAATTACGCCTTATTATTCTCATACTTGTTTTGAAGTCAGTACCTTTTTTTTGCTAAATGAATGGTATCTTTGATTACTGCAGTGGATGCTTCAAATTCCTGGGGCTACCAGTTACATGGGATCAATTGGAAAAGACAAATACGGAGAGGCAATGAAAAAGGATGCTACAGCAGCTGGTGTCAATGTGAGTCTGCTTTTAAGTTTATCAATTATTAATTATTGGTGGTTGGTTTTCATCAGGAAATAGACTGTTAATCTGCTCTTGTTCTGTACCCAGGTCCACTATTACGAAGATGAGTCAACACCTACCGGAACTTGCGGTGTCTGTGTTCTTGGTGGAGAAAGGTCAGTTTACAATCATTCTCTCTATGTCTGGTTATGATTGTCTTAATAAGATTTCCTTCTGCTGAGGCATGTTTCCTATTTTGCAGGTCGCTCATTGCGAATCTTTCTGCTGCTAATTGCTACAAGGTTGAACACTTGAAGAAGCCTGAGAACTGGGCTCTGGGTAAGAAACTCATCTTCCGACCTTTTTATTCTGAGATTGGATAGTTTCATATGTTGGAATTATCTGAGATTTGTGAAACATATTTTTTTTGGCAGTTGAGAAGGCTAAGTTCTACTACATTGCTGGATTCTTCCTCACGGTGTCACCAGAATCCATTCAGTTGGTACGTGAACATGCCGCTGCAAACAACAAGGTAAGAAGACATGATCCTTTATGAGAACCAGGCACAGTGATCTGTCTCCCCTATCTGTGTGTCTTTAATTTGAACAGTCCTCCTGATATGCTCACCTATTTGGCAGGTGTTCACGATGAACCTTTCTGCTCCATTCATCTGTGAATTCTTCAAAGATGTTCAGGAGAAGTGCATACCGTAAGCACATCCTAATTTCTTGATCCCTTTATTCCATCTTATAATTGCCAAACTAATCACTGGCGATATACTGAAAAGCAAGACGCTGCATCTAATGTCTTGCTTGGACCAGGTACATGGACTATATTTTTGGCAATGAGACCGAGGCAAGAACCTTCTCCAGGGTTCACGGCTGGGAGGTAACTGCCGATACTTCACCCTGTTTTTTGGTTTGAAGAAAGACAGTTTATTAATCTGTTTGGTTATATTTTATACAGACTGATGATGTTGAGCAAATAGCCATCAAGATGTCCCAGTTGCCCAAAGCCACTGGAACGTACAAGAGGACTACTGTGATTACACAAGGCGCAGACCCCGTGGTTGTCGCCGAGGATGGAAAAGTGAAGAAGTACCCAGTCATCGCTCTCCCCAAGGAGAAGCTTGTTGACACCAACGGTGCAGGTATTTGATAAGAACTCAGCCCTCACTAACTGCTCTCTAACTAAGTCACAACAGCTCTAATCTGCTACATTCCATCTTAGATTAGATACAGTTAGACTTATAGCTAAGAGTTGATCCCCTGAATTCCCCTTCAAAAGCTTATTAATGTTTGATGATCTAAACCACTCATCTAGTAAGCGTAAACACCACGTGAACCCTTATCCAAATCCCGGTTTACCAAATTATTTGCTATGTTAGACTGTAATAAGAAGATCATCATGCATTTGGTCTCAGTTTCAAGTAAACTAATTCCGATTGTTTAACTGCCTTTTTCTGTAATCATAGGTGATGCGTTTGTGGGAGGGTTTCTTTCGCAGCTGGTGCACGGAAAGGGGATTGAAGAGTGCGTGAGGGCAGGATGCTACGCTTCAAACGTAGTGATCCAGAGGTCTGGATGCACTTACCCTGAGAAACCAGACTTCAACTAAAGCTAAAAGTCTGACAAATCATCCTTTTAGTTTTATCTCCGAATGAGATTTTGGTGATCATTATTATACGACCCAAATAAACACTATTGTTGTTTGCTTGTATCAACTTTTGAGGCTTTGAGCTATTATTGAGTGTGTTTTTGGCTTGATTTTATTATTACCCTTTCATCAGTATTCTATAATTTAATAAATATAATTGCTATGCTAGGCCGAGTATGATATAACCAAATGTCAAAATGTTCATAACTTGTTACATCTTCATGGATGTAATTTTTCTCCATCTTTGTTTGAACTTGCTTCATAAAGTAATTGAATGATCACAATTCCCTATAATGTGCATTACTGTTTTTATAACTTGTTTCTCTATCGAATTCAATTTAGTTTGGTTCCACAACTGCATTGGACATTGCTATGCAAACAAAATTTGCGGAATCTTTTATGTCGGTACATATATTTCTATCGAATCATGGAAATGACAAGTAATGTCTAGTTTCGGATGTTTTTGATAATGTAAAGTAGGACCAGTATACTAATCAAACTAATTCACTTCTAAAAGTCCTTTTGACTTTGAACAATAAGGTTCTAACAAGTAACTAGTAACAACTTTGACTTTTACTTCACTTCTAGATTCTTATCTTTTACGTATACTAATCAAACTAATTCGTGCATAGTGAGAACTTAAATTGGCATGGGAAGGGTCACGAGTCAAATATGGTTTGATCCACTTTAGTAGTAACATATTAACATCTATTGGTACGTAGGTGAAGTTACGAGATTTGAGTGAAGGTGACAATATTCATACGGAACAGTACACTTTTATATTGATCCACAGCAGCGTAAGCAACACGACGAAGTGGGGTATAAAGTATTTTAACATAATTGTATAAAATAGGTTAAGTTACCAAGGTTTAAGGTATCTCAACAAGTGGTACAAATACAATTTACTAAACCGATTTCAAGAAACCGATAGATCAATCAGAAACCAATACCGAGGATTTCTTTAATTCATTTTGTGTGTGAAAATGCTGAACTTTGTCGTTAATCTTTATCTAATCTAGGTTCCAGGAAGATTTGGGAAATCTCTTAGGTGACCCAAGTTAAATATCCCTTTCACTTCCCCATTGCAAATCCCACGATTATCATAAAAAAAGATTAGTAGAGAATTATGCTCATTAACATAAACATTAATGAAAGATTATATTTTCATACATTTGATAGGTAGAATTAAAGGACTTTGGAAACCATTTTGGCATCATCGGCTGATTCACCATTTTATAGATTTTCAATCATTTTTATTTACAAATGGTTGATGTGAGATGATAATAAGTTAGTAACATTAAATATTAGCATTATTATATAAAACCAACATTAATGAATACATCAATTTGTATCTGTTTCTGAAAAGGTCCAACATGTTGAGTTGTCTATCTTAAATGCATAATCATATACTCCCTCTGTTCCTAAAAATTTGATGTTTTAGTGTTTTAGGTTTGTTCCACAAAGATTGATTTTCTGGATTTTTTCTTTATTTTTAATTAATTGATATTAATAAATCGTAGATTCCAAGACGTAATGATTAACTGTTTCAGAATACTATTGGTTAATGATTTATTAAGAAATCATTAAATAAAATAAATAATTAAACAATGATTGTTTCTTAAAATATGTGAAATCTCTAGAAAATCAATCTTCTAGGAACAGAGGGAGTATCTATGTTGAGTCACTCACAGTCATTTTATTTTGTATGTTAAACTTTTCACCATCGTCTATTCTCATTCCATTTATTTGAAAGATTAGTCAGTGTCTCAGTGACTCAGTCATAGTAAAATTCCCTAAACAAAAGAAAAATGATGTTGAAATATAAGTTTTTTTAACCAAATAAAAACCATAACTCAAAAGTGATTTAAATACACTGATCTCTATTGGCTACTTTGCGAAGCACCCTAAAGTTGAACAAGTCAAAAGAAATAGGAAGTAAAACGTTTTTTTTTTTTTTTTTTGGTCTACTAAAAAAAATATTATTTTTGGAAACATCTTACACATATGGACAAGCGAATTTCTTTTCTTTTGTCCAATTTAAATTCTCAGTTCCTCGTTCTCTTGCTGACTTAGCTATCTCTGTGAAGACTTTTTTTTTTTTTTTTTTTGCCGTGTGACGACTTCTTCTTCTTCGACCTCCTTCTCTTCCAAGCTTTGCTTCTTAAAATCCATTTCGTAAAACCCCTCATACCTATCTTTTCTCAATCCTCGATCTCTTTTGTATCGTAATTCATGAACCCCTTTGTAATATTTATAATTATCCTTCTCTTCTGGCGATTGGATTACAGTTACTTCTTCTTCTTCTTCTGATAAAGTTTTGATTTTGTGTACGAAATAAATACAAAGGTGAGAGTTTTGATCATCTTTTGCTTTTTATGCTTGTTCAATAAGTCAAAGTTCTTTATGTTGCTCTTGGGTTTTAGTGTATAGGAACCAACTTGCGGAATTTGATTACTTTTAGCTTGGAGATTCTTTCTATTAAACTTAGGGTTTGTGTTACTTAGAAAAGAATTTGGATCTGTTGAGTCATAAGGCCTAGTAAAATTTGATCTTTTGACTCTGAAGTTCGAAATTAGAATAAGATGAAACAAAGGGGAACTCTGTTTTAAGTGTTGGGAAGCCTCAACTGTGGAAATGCTTCAACTATGCAGATTAGTTGTTCGATAATATGCTTCAACGAATTCAAATGGTTTTGATGTTCTGTTTTTGTATAATGTTACATGATCAGTGTTTATTTGTGTCCTGCAGTGGAGAAACCTCGGTGTTTTAATCTCTTTTCGATAATGAAGTGTTTCTTGTTCTCTGGTGGGGACAAGAAAGGGGAACAGAAGACCCCTATCTCGGTTTCATTGACTTCTAACTTCTCTGACCGCGAAATAAACCGCAGCGGGTCAGAGTTCAACTCTCGGGATGTCTCTGGGACGAGCACAGAATCATCCATGGGGAGGAAGAACTCGTACCCTACAATGTCTACTAGAGCAAGTAATATCAGAGAGTTCAGCATTACTGATCTCAAGTCTGCAACAAAGAACTTTAGCCGATCTGTTATGATCGGAGAAGGTGGTTTCGGGTGTGTCTTCAGGGGGACAGTGAGGAACTTAGAGGACCCGTCAAATAAAATCGAAGTCGCGGTGAAGCAGCTCGGTAAAAGAGGGTTGCAGGTATGTCTTTTTCCAGTTTTGTTCTCAAGATTTGTCACTTATCCAAGTGGCTAACTCGACTATCTCATTTGTTGGATTTTGCAGGGGCATAAGGAATGGGTTACGGAAGTTAACTTCCTCGGGATAGTTGAGCATAAAAACTTGGTGAAATTGCTTGGCTATTGTGCAGAAGATGATGAACGTGGAATCCAACGGCTTTTGGTTTATGAATACATGCCTAACCGAAGTGTTGAATTCCACTTATCCCCTCGCTCACTCACAGTTCTTACTTGGGACCTTAGATTGAGAATCGCCCAAGATGCAGCTCGTGGCTTAACATACCTGCACGAAGAAATGGAGTTTCAGGTAATGTCATGACTCTGCCAAGCTACTACTGATCTCATTTCTCTCTCTTTACTGACTTTGATCTATTGCTTTTTCAGATAATATTCCGGGATTTCAAGTCCTCGAACATTCTTTTGGATGAGGACTGGAAAGCAAAGCTCTCAGATTTCGGTTTGGCTCGTTTAGGTCCATCGGAAGGACTAACCCATGTTTCTACTGATGTAAGTTCTGCATTCACTTCTTTTGGTTGCAAGATTGGAAAATATCTATGTTTTTTAACGGGTTTCTTCGGCTTCATTAGGTCGTTGGTACAATGGGTTATGCAGCACCTGAATACATTCAAACCGGTCGTCTCACATCGAAAAGCGACGTGTGGGGATATGGAGTCTTCCTCTATGAGCTTATCACAGGGAGACGACCGGTGGACAGAAACAGACCCAAGGGAGAGCAGAAGCTTCTAGAATGGGTGAGACCTTATCTATCTGACACAAGGAAGTTCAAGCTCATATTAGACCCGAGGCTCGAAGGAAAGTACCCAATCAAATCGGTTCAAAAGCTAGCAGTTGTGGCCAACAGATGTTTGGTTAGGAACTCAAAGGCACGTCCCAAGATGAGTGAGGTGTTAGAGATGGTGACCAAGATTGTGGAAGCGTCTTCAGGGAACGGTAGCCCGCAGCTAGTTCCGCTGAACAGTCTAAAAGCTTCGAGAGGCGCGGGAGGAAAGAACAAGAGGGTTTTAGAGACGAGGAACAATGGTGGTGGAGGTGAAGGAGGTTGGTTTGGCAAGTTATGGAATCCGAAGACAATAAGAGCTTGTTGACTTCTTTAGAATTCAAACTCTTCTTACAAAACAAAAGGACTCTAGAAAGGTTTCATGGAGATTGCAAAGCTTGAAGATTGTGGCGAGATCAAGATCAAGCTCAAGCTTGTATACATACATAAAGATAATTATATATGAAGATTTGTGAAAGATTCTAAAATGATACTATAATATAATGTTTGTATGATTACAGCTTAATTAGTAAGATATGTATATTTTAGTATATAAGCAAGAATGGCTTATCAGAGTTTTTGTTCCAAAGCTGATCAATCTACTTGTGCTTAAGTGTAAAGTTCCTATGAATTATCTTTTTTTTTTGGTAAGATGTTCATGTTCCTATGAATTATCTTTATCAAAGAAAAAAGAAGTACCTATTGATTGCCATAAGTAAATATTAACAAAAACATAAATAAAAAGAAAACAATAATGGGTTTTTACTTTTAACTTTTAAGGACTACTGAAATTTGGGAGAAGTAGTTGGAATTTGGAAAAAGATTATTAGTCGATAGGTAGGAAAATTGATATTGCTTGTGTTTTTATGTAGCAACAAAATAATTGTGTACTATTATATAACACACGAGAATTTGATATTGTTCCATATATTATAAAAATCTGGAACCAAAGTTTTTGATACACCTCACTTTTTCGTAATATGCACAAAACAATTTGACTTTTGTGGCATTGTTTGTTCCTTTTGGAGGAAAAATGAAAGAGATTAGGAGTTTTTAGACACATAACATAGATAGGGTATAAGATTTGGGAAAAGTAAAAAGATTAGGGGTCGTTTTGATATTACTAGAAGATAAGAAAAAAAAGGAAAATAAGAAAAAAGGAAAAAAAAAAAAAAAAAAGAGGAGATCTCTTTTCCAACAAGAAACGTAGAGATATAATTAGCGAACTCCTTCAGATCCCATTATCACAAATCGATCTCTCTCTCAGAAACCAAAAAGCTCTCAACTTTCTTCGATTTCTGAGGGAACTCTTTCGTTAATCTCAAACTCAATCATGTCTACCCCAGCTGAATCTTCAGACTCGTAAGTACCCAGATCTCTGATTTTGGTTATCCGATCGGGAAATTTCGGATCTTTCTAAAGTCTAGGCTTTTTCGATTTTGGGGATTAGGGTTTTGGTTGATCTTCTATTCTTAAGTTGAATCTTAATCTTGTTTGTTTCTGTTACAGGAAATCGAAGAAAGATTTCAGTACTGCTATTCTCGAGAGGAAGAAGTCTCCGAACCGTCTTGTCGTCGATGAGGCTATCAACGATGATAACTCCGTCGTCTCTCTTCACCCTGCAACCATGGAGAAGCTTCAGCTCTTCCGTGGTGATACCATTCTCATCAAGGTTTGCTTTGCTTTTCTTCGTTTGGATTCTCTTTTGATTGATTTTTTAAATTAGGGGTTTTTCCTTTACTCGATTGATGGATTCTTATGTGATTCTACATAAACTAGGGTTTGTGTAGACTTTTGAAACCAGTGATGTATGATATTGGGTATTATACAAAATAAAGAGACTTGCTTTTTTGAGTATTGTACTGATCCTGTCTTGGTGATTGATTCTTATTTGTACTCTTTGTGACTTCTTATTTCGTTTGGATATTGGCTTTCAGGGTAAGAAAAGGAAGGACACTGTCTGCATTGCTCTCGCTGATGAGTCATGTGAGGAGCCAAAGATCAGAATGAACAAAGTAGTCAGATCTAACTTGAGGGTTAGACTCGGAGATGTTATTTCTGTTCACCAATGCCCAGACGTCAAGTACGGAAAGCGTGTGCACATCTTGCCTGTTGATGATACTGTTGAAGGAGTGACTGGAAACCTCTTTGATGCTTACCTGAAACGTAAGTTGGCTTTTTATTTTAGATCCTTATCCAGTTATGCAAGTTTTTATTTTTCTTTGGATGTTGTTTGGTTTGAGATATTATTGGAATGATTTCTAAACAAAAATTGAATTCTTTTCAACAGCTTATTTCCTGGAGGCATACCGTCCAGTGAGGAAGGGTGATCTCTTCCTAGTCAGAGGAGGCATGAGGAGTGTGGAGTTCAAAGTCATAGAGACAGATCCTGCTGAGTACTGCGTGGTTGCTCCAGACACAGAGATTTTCTGTGAGGGTGAGCCTGTGAAGAGAGAGGATGAAGAAAGGCTAGATGATGTAGGTTATGATGATGTTGGCGGTGTCAGGAAACAGATGGCTCAGATCAGAGAACTTGTTGAACTTCCCTTGAGGCATCCACAGCTATTCAAGTCAATTGGTGTCAAGCCACCAAAGGGAATTCTTCTTTATGGACCACCTGGGTCCGGAAAGACTTTGATTGCTCGTGCTGTGGCTAATGAAACTGGTGCCTTTTTCTTCTGTATCAACGGACCTGAGATCATGTCCAAACTGGCTGGTGAGAGTGAGAGCAACCTCAGGAAAGCATTTGAGGAGGCTGAGAAAAATGCCCCTTCAATCATATTCATTGATGAGATTGACTCTATTGCACCCAAAAGAGAGAAGACGAATGGCGAGGTTGAGAGGAGGATTGTGTCTCAGCTGCTTACGCTTATGGATGGACTGAAATCGCGTGCTCATGTTATTGTCATGGGAGCAACCAATCGCCCCAACAGTATCGACCCAGCTTTGAGAAGGTTTGGAAGATTTGACAGGGAGATCGATATTGGGGTTCCTGACGAAATTGGACGTCTTGAAGTTCTGAGGATCCATACAAAGAACATGAAGCTTGCTGAAGATGTAATTTTCTAATTATAGCTTTGCATGTGTTTGTTGAGTGTAATGTTTATTGAAAGCTAAAGTCTTCTTGTGGTTGTTTTCCAGGTGGATCTCGAAAGGATCTCAAAGGATACACACGGTTACGTCGGCGCTGATCTTGCAGCTTTGTGCACAGAGGCCGCCCTGCAATGCATCAGGGAGAAGATGGATGTGATTGATTTGGAAGATGACTCCATAGATGCTGAAATCCTCAATTCCATGGCAGTGACTAATGAACATTTCCACACTGCTCTCGGGAACAGCAACCCATCTGCACTTCGTGAAACTGTGAGTATTGACAGTACTCTGCTAAGAACGAGATCTAAGCTTGTATCTGCGCTTAAATCTCATTCCAAATTTTCTTCTTCGCTTTGCAGGTTGTGGAAGTTCCCAACGTCTCTTGGAATGATATTGGAGGTCTTGAGAATGTCAAGAGAGAGCTTCAGGAGGTAAATTACTAATTTTTTACTTTTGCTTGGATCTGTCCATTAATTGTAACTTGTAACCTGAGCTGTGTGATTGTTCAAATGCAGACTGTTCAATACCCAGTCGAACACCCGGAGAAGTTTGAGAAATTCGGGATGTCTCCATCAAAGGGAGTACTTTTCTACGGTCCTCCTGGATGTGGGAAAACTCTTTTGGCCAAAGCTATTGCCAACGAGTGCCAAGCTAATTTCATCAGTGTCAAGGGTCCCGAGCTTCTGACGATGTGGTTTGGAGAGAGTGAAGCGAATGTCCGTGAAATCTTCGACAAGGCCCGTCAATCCGCTCCATGTGTTCTTTTCTTCGATGAGCTTGACTCCATTGCGACTCAGAGAGGAGGCGGAAGTGGAGGCGATGGAGGCGGCGCTGCGGATAGAGTGTTGAACCAGCTTTTGACTGAGATGGATGGAATGAACGCCAAGAAAACTGTCTTCATCATTGGAGCAACCAACAGACCTGACATTATCGATTCGGCTCTTCTCCGTCCTGGAAGGCTTGACCAGCTCATTTACATTCCACTACCAGACGAGGATTCCCGTCTCAATATCTTCAAGGCCGCCTTGAGGAAATCTCCTATTGCTAAAGATGTTGACATCGCTGCACTCGCTAAATACACTCAGGGATTCAGTGGTGCTGATATCACTGAGATTTGTCAGAGAGCTTGCAAGTACGCCATCAGAGAAAACATTGAGAAGGTCAGAGATCTCTAAATCGCTAATCTCTAATCTCTAATCGAAATTATTATAGTCTCGTATCTCTGAACTTAGCTCTTGTTTTATTGTTTCAGGACATTGAAAAGGAGAAGAGGAGGAACGAGAACCCAGAGGCAATGGAGGAAGATGGAGTGGATGAAGTATCAGAGATCAAAGCTGCACACTTTGAGGAGTCGATGAAGTATGCACGTAGGAGTGTGAGTGATGCAGACATCAGGAAGTACCAAGCTTTTGCTCAGACGTTGCAGCAGTCTAGAGGATTCGGTTCTGAATTCAGGTTCGAGAATTCTACTGGTTCAGGTGCCACCACTGGAGTCGCAGATCCGTTTGCCACGTCTGCAGCTGCTGCTGGGGACGATGATGATCTCTACAATTAGTGATAACTTCTTTATCCTTTTTTTTTATATTAAGTTTAAAACTCGAATTCTCTACTTTTGGATTACTGGGGAAAGTGATACTGATTCTTTCCTCGTGTTTTTAAGTTATCCGAATTTCTTGTGTTTGGGTTTTAATCAATGTTCTTAATTTTCGTTTCACTCCTTTTTTTTTTTGTTTCATTCCTTACAAATGGAAAACAAAAGGATCACAAAGTAAGTTACAAAGATCACAAATATTCGCACATATCTGCAAATTCCTTGTATCAATGTTAATGAGGTAAGAGTGGTACATTTTTACAGAATCTTGTGAGAATGTGTGAGACAATAGATAGATTCGAAGCTGAGGATGTTTTTCTTTCTGCATCAATGGTGGTTTTCAAACAAACTTTATTAATCAACAACATTGATGTCAAGATAACAACAAAGCTGCTCCCAAGTCTTGAAACATAAATTGAACAAAGGCCAGATGTTGAAGATTGAAGATGAACATACTTAAAACGATATATTACTGTTCTTGTTCAAACCTTGACCGTTAAATACTTAAATCTTTAGCCTTCAGCGCCTATTCCACGTGCTCTAGGACGCCTGACAGCGACCAGCGGATTGACTATGCCTTGTGACTCTCTTCCCAAACCCGAGCCTTCTACGAAACCCATTCTCGCCATCATCCTCGACCCAAAGCCTGTTGTGTGCTGCTCAAAGGCTCCCAATCTTTTGTCTCTAATTCCTCCTGAACCAGAGGCACCATTTTCATGAGAGATGCGTTTCACATGTTTCCCAGAGGAAGACGATCTGTTGCGTTTAGCATTGTTATTGCTTGACGGAGTTGGGTCTTCAGTGTCAATGTTGAAATCCAGACCTAACCCAAGTGATTTTGGACGCTGAACAGCTTCTATTGGCTGTGCTATCCCCTTACCATCCTTTCCTAGACCGCCTCCATCTATGAATCCCATTTTTGCCATCATTTTGGATCCAAAACCTCTGGTATGTACCTCAAATGCTCCGATGTCTGCTCCATTAGAGGTTCCCGGAGTAGATTCAGCTACCTGTTTTGCATCTTTTTCACCTAAGGTTTTTCCAACAGCTATCTCAGAATCGATTATGCCACTAGACACAAACGATACAGGTTGATCAGCATATGAACTCTTCTTCCCATTGCTTTTATTTCTCTCCTGTTCTTCTCTGGTAGTTCGCTTTTTGGCTGAATCTTTTGCTTTCTTCCTATCTAAACTTCCAGATTTCCCTTTTACCTCTCCACTGACAGCAAAATCATAATCCTCATCTCCTGCTCCTATTAGCTTCTCAATGCGAAGTTTATCGCTGGCAGATGGCATACATGTCTGATATGTTCGAGTCACTGTCACAAAGCTTTTCTTACCAGAACCATTGCAGCTACTTGACAAGCGGTATACATCTGCTAATCGTCTTACCTGAGAGCAATCTCGATTATGCATACGCTGGAAACAGTGCATGTCCACGTTCTCCAGAACAAAACTCTCTAATTGAGAGTTAATATCAGCAAGATCAACACCACGCTGCAGCATTCTCTCACGGCGCTTCAAAGCAATGTATTCTTTGCGGTGTTTCTTTTTCTCACCAGGAAAATTACGGGAATTCTTACTCTTTGGTGCCCCTGAAGGCCAAGAGTGGGGAAACTTAGCCACCTCTTTCTTCTTGTTCTTCTTCCCTGAAAGACTTCTTGGATCCTTCACAAACATAAGATCATCCATTGTCAATGGATTAGTAGACTTACCATGCCCCGAGAAACGACTTCTTGTCGTCTTCTTCTTACCATATTCCATTGAAGCTTTTCGCAGACCAATACCAGTCAACTTTCTTGTTTTTCGATCAGAAGAATCACTTGAAGAACTGTCATCACTTGACAAATCCAATTTATCCAATGACTGTTCTGCCAACCAATGAGCATCCAACATAATCTCACTGCCACCAATACCTTCCAAGTAATCCTTTGCAACAGCATCATCAATCTCGGAATTACTTCCAAACATGTCTTCCGAGCTGTCACTCTCAGATGATTCAGAAAATCCATTGCTGCCCTCATCTCCAGATTCATCATCATCCATCTCTTCTTCTCCATCACTCTCTTCACCAGATATATCTTCAGTGTATAACTTCATCCCTCCTATAGAAATGAAACCTGAATTCCTCCTTTTCGGTGTTTTCACAACATCAGGCATCACTTCATCGTCATTTCCACCAGACTCCTCAACAGCATCAACTTCCTCCTCAGGGGAAAATGAACCACCTTGATCTCCCAATGCCTTTGGAATAGAAAGGCTACCACTTGGTGTAGCATCAGAATCATCACAAAATCCCAATCCTCTATGGGAATCATCACCCAAAACAAAACTCGGTTCGTATTCGTAATCATAACTTACCTTAATCCCTTTCGATGACGAAGGCGTTTGATCCAGAAATGCAACAACTTGAGTCGCCTCTGACTTCCCCAACACAATAGGAATTGAACCATCCATTTGATCCCTGTCAACGCCTGCTTTTCGCTCTAACCCTTGCTCAAAATCAATGGAAGGATACTGATACACATAAGTATTACCACTGCATTTCCTTGGACCACTCATGGAAGCAGAAGCTTTTACGCGATCTGTGCTTCCATATTTCAATCCCTTTCCCGAAGAGCTTCCTCCACGAGATGGCGTAGAAAAGTTAGGATCTTTTCGGTAATCGGAGAGAATACCTCCTTCGACAAACAAAGTAGTATTATTCTGACGTCGGCGACGACCACCGGAGGAAGATCCCGCCGCGGAATTATGATTGGTTCTCGTGCTTTGTCCTGGAGATCTAGCCTTGCTTTTCCCAGAACCACCACCACCGTTAGATCTTCTCCTACCACCGCCTCGCATAATTTAATCAACCTAATTCCCAGAAAACCCTAATTTTGGGGAAGACGACGATGAATCAAAAGGAAGAATCACAGATCTTCTTTATTAGTGTGTTTGCCATTTCTGGTTCTTCCCAAAGAAATGGGCCACGTAACTAAAACGATGGGTTTCGTGTCGTTTTGGCGTCCTCTCTTCGAGGATCGAATTGTTGGATATTCGAAAGATATGGCCCTAAGCGAAGAAACAATTATTTCTAAACTGACCCCTAAGTTTTATTTTATTTACAAAAACATTCCAGGATATTATTATCACTGTTACCAAACAGAAGTTTAGTCTCTTTGTTGTTATCCAGAAGCGAAATCTTCGGAGAAGAAGATAATAAACACAAAGAGCGACGAGAGAGCGAGTGAAAATGGAGAAGTACTTTGGAAATGCATACAGGGGAGATCCAGGAGTGCCACATGCTGATGCAGATCGGTTTGTGAATATATGGATTGGTTCTGCTGCTTTCTCTGTTCTCACCTGGGTCAATCCTTACATGTGGCAGCTCTCTAACCAGTTCAAGTAATTCTCGCTCTCTCTTGATTTCTCACTGAATGCCAATGTCTGGGTTCCGAATTGGGTTTCTGGTTCTCTGATTTGTTCCAGCGAGAATTAGGTTTCATCTTGATTCTTTTGGATTGACTGTTTAAGTTCTTCTTTTGCTGCTACATTAGATTGGTTAGCTATCATAGACTTAGCTAAAACCTCAGGTTTCAATATCATCTAATAGTTGAAGGAGTGTTTGGTCCTCCTATGGAGAGTGTAACTTCATTGTCTCTCTTTGTTTGTTTCTTTACTTGTTTGACGAAATGATTGGATTCACGATAGATAGTGTGATCAACTCTAGTTTAAGAAGGTCTTGTAGATCAGATAAGGATGTTTCTCTCTGATAAGTGCTGTGGCTGAACCAAAGTCTGGTCTTTTGTATGGTTCTCTTATATGGCAGTTATCATGATAAGTGGATGCTGTTTGAGCAGTACCACTGGAAAAAAGCAAGGGCAAAGAAGCAGCCTTATGAATTCAAGGTTCTTACTTTTGCCTAAGAACTGAATCTATTTTTCTTTATGTAACTAATGATAACATTGCTCACAAGTTTAATTGATTCTTCTCTTTGTTACTCAGTGGAATAAGATACCCAAAGAAGTCAGGGACTCGTACTATTACAACTGGCCTGTCTACTTCCCATAAAAGTGTCTGTGTTGCGCCGCCTTGTGAATCTGAAGAGAGAAACCAAAAACTTGTGGAACTTCTATGGAATCTAGCTTTATCTCTTCTGTTCTGTTCTTTGTACTACTTTTGGATTTTAAGTTTGTATCCATCAGTCTCAACTATTTGCTGTTTCATCTCCTCTGGTTGAATTTCTTATGGCATTCTTGAAACCATCTCTTAAGCGCAGAACTAGAATCTATCAGATGTGATCACCATTACCACTTTCCGGTTGTATTTGGTAACCAATGCTGTGTGTTATCCAGTGCTTGCTAAAATCTGAAATAGTTACTAATGAATAACTGGGTCCTGATTAGTACTGGTTCAGTTGTGTACCCAAATGTCGCTTACAATAGACAAATTGCTTAATAACCGAGGGAGCAAATGCAACCAATGAAGCTGCAATAATGTTGTGGAATCAAGCTGCTTATGAAAACCCCTCATCCAAATAATTGTTCAGAGGTAACAATGAACTATCACCAGCATAATACATATATAACATGCTTTTTATGTAATAAGAGAAAGAATGGTAAATTCTTGTAAGAAAAGAATTTCATCTAACAATGTTGCTCTACAAATCAAAAATCAAGACTCTCTACTTCCTTGTAGAATCTTCTGTACTTCTTCCGGCTGGCATGGAATGGTCAGAGGTCCTCTCGGTTGAAACCCGAACTCCTCTTTGGTCTGTTCGAGCAGCCTCAAGAACTCAGGTTTGTTCAACTCTTCAAGCTCCAAAACAAACCTCTTAATTCTCTCTCCCTTAACCGCAATCACTGCTACATGCCCTTCCTTCACATCACTTGGAATCATTGATCCAGCATTACACTCTTCCTCGAACTCACCACAATTCCCTACCCTTTTGGAGAATCTAGTGAATAAGCAGCAAGTTTGTATCTTTCTCATGAACATCTTCAGCTTTTTGCTCATTGTCAACAGTAGAAGAAGTAAAGCTCTGGTTGGTGTTCTTTGCTTCTTCTTCTTTGGTGGAGTTGTTGCATTGTTTTGGGTTAGAGAGTCTGGATTTTATATACTCAACGCTGACGTCAACATTCATGGCTAGGAAATTTCTGAGAAATCTCTTGATTACAACATTTAATGCAATTCCCCATTTGTGTATCAGCTGTTCTCTTTCTTTGCTCTCCTGAGAATAGTGGGGCCTCACAAAAACACGCTTCTACAGCCCAAAAAGTGTAACTTCACACCTCTTTCCTTTGTAATTAAGACAGTTGATCTCTCTGCTTCAATCTTTTATCTTTGTTAAGAATCTGATATACTAATTCATCAAAGGGTAGACATCTTGAAGGACTTTAATTATTTAGGTTTTCACTACAAAGTGTATGGCACAAGTAAAATTACCAAAACAAAAGGACTTTGATTGTTTAGGTTTTCACTAAAATCTAGACATCTTGAAGAATTACATTACTTGTTGGCTTTGTTGTATATAGTATATTACATTGGTCAACGATAAATACTTGTAGTTGTAATGGAGATGTACTGACACATAAAATATGAAGAAATTGTCATTATCTAGAGTATAGAGTATTACCGTATAACAATGTCAACTACCTCGTGGTCCGGTCTGTACGGAATCATTAAATGCTTGTTCAAACTTTCTAACACTGTTCCGTACTTATGTAATGTAATCACTGAATTAAAAGTATAATACTATTGTTTTAGATTTTAGAAAATAAGTGTGAGGACTCTTAATTTATGGTAGAATGAGAATGATTTATGCCAATCCAACATACTTTTATGAAATTTTGTACACTTATTTTTGTTGTCAATAACATCCATCCATTACATAAGTACAGAACTTTATGATTTATGCGATTGGTTAATACAATACAACTTGATTCTTTAAAATTTAAATATTGATTAAAAATTTTGAGATGAGTTTCTCAACTATATTTTAGATACCCTTTAGATACTAATGTAGATACAAGATATACACCAAAAAATCATTGATAGAGATACTTTTAGTATGCTCTTCTAACATCTGACACATAATTTAATATTATTCTTCTAGAAAAAAAAAGATGATAAATATAAAGGCTATCAATGATCCTCTCCAAGTATCAATAGTTTTGAACAATATTTGAACTAACACTCATAATCCAATGATAATGATATGATCTTATATATCTTAATATATTATGATTTAGATTTAAATAATTGCATCAATTGTCTATCAAAAACCTATTAAATAATATTAATTAAGGTTCATTCTACCAAAGAAAGAAAGAAAAAGAAAAAAAAAACATTAATTAAGTCTAGTGATACTAATTCCTCATTTGTCGGGGGATGAAGGGGGAGTGGTGTCCGGGGATGAAGGGGGAGTAGTGTCGAAAAGTGTAGGCGCCTGGTGGATACGGCGACGAATGGAGAAGGTAGTGTTGTTCCTCACAGATGACGCTAGTCGTTTCCACATCTTAATTTGGTATAATTAATTTGAAGTTTTGGTAGATGTGATGATGCATAAGTGGTTCCAAGAGGACTTACTTATATAGAGGAAATCGTCATTTTGAAATCTCGTAGTAAAGTAAAAAAATAATATCTCTTCTGACATTTTAGTATCACTAGAGTAGTGTAGTGATGCATGGGAGACCATAGACTATAGGAGGAAGTAGAAGAATAATTCAGTTCCTCTAATTAAATCTCCAATATTTTCAAAAGTTTACAAAAAAGGTTTACAAAAAATTGGAAGCAGAAAAAAAGAAAAAAAAAAGAAGAAGAAGAAGAGAGTCTTTTTTTTTTTTTTTTTTTTTTTTAAACGAAAGAAGAGAGTCTAACTTTGATAAACTAAGGAAACAATATAAACTAAATGGTATATATTTTAATACAGAAAAAGTTAAATTTAAACATCTAAAAAAACGCTTATTATATAATGAAGTTTTCTTCATGGCTATTGTAATAAATATACATGCGTTAACATTAAAACAAAAAAAAAATATACATGCGTTACAACGTAAAAGACAAAAGATAATGTTGTTGGTCCAAAAAGCATAATTTGATTAAGCTTGACTTTGTAGTAGACAGACACGAAAGACTAAGAGTATATAATAAACCCCATGAGATAAATAATTGAATCGAATTTTTCCGGTCTTCATACCATACCGGTAGATTTTTGCCGCGAACCGACCGGTTTAATCGACGCAAATTTTATTTTTAATTATTATTATTAGATTTTTTTTTTAAGGCAACCAGCGAGTTAACCGCCCGACAAAGAGGAGGAGCCGCCGCGTCTGTCGGAAGAAGAACGAGGAAGCCCGATTCAGAGATTGCGTTTCTTCTCCTCAGGTTCTTTGTTAATTTGTGCTCTAAATTGTTGCTGTCTCGCTTTGTTCTCGAACAATTGCTTAAGTTGAATCGTTCCAGTGCCAACTTTCGAGGACTAGAAGAAATAAAGATTTGGATTTTTTTTTTTTAGACACTGGGATGATGATTCTTGATTATTAGTTGCATTGTCCCTGATCCAACATAAACGATTGCAGAAACATTGATGATTAATGAGTGTCTCTTTTGTTTACTCTTCTCTTGCTCTGTAGCAGAATGGAAGAAGAAAAATCGTTACCCTTTTTGTCTCTAGGTAATCTCCTTTGTCTTGTGACTTTCCATGATTGGTTTTCTCTGTATCCTCTCTTTAACGAGTGTGTTCCTCTCTTCAGACTGTGAACTTGATGAAGTTCCAGATGATAGCAGAGAAAGACACTGCTCTACTCATAGCATTCTCTCACAGCTTTCAGGTGATTTTGATAAAGTCTCTTAAGTTGTCATTGCAGCCGTTTTTTTCAGAAAAAAGGGAGAGCTTCTCTGTGATCTAGCTCCTTGGAGTTGGAGCATTTCCAAAGTTTGTTGTTAATTCAGAGTCTGTGCTACAAGTACTACTTAATGAGGTCTCTAAAATGTGTTTTTTTTTCTAGGGAACAATAGTTGAAAACATTTACGGAATATAAGCTTCTGGAAAGACAAACTCTCCCTATCAAAATCTTGGAGGTATTGTTCTTGAATCTTTCATCCTCGATTTATTTGTTTGAATAGGAACCTTGGGACTTGTTACTAGAATCCATCCTATGTTGGGAACACATATCTTCTGGTTTTTTGAAGTTACCGTCTTGATTATGATTCTTACCTGGCTGAGACTTGCTTCTATTCTTCACTTACCTGGCTATTGGCTAAGACTTGCTTCACTCCATTAGCTGCTTTTTTTTTATCTTTGTGTTTCTGCACTTTCCCTGATGGATCCTCCTCTAGCATAATAGATATTTAGTGTGAGTTTTTTCATTCTTTCTTCTCAACATGTTCATGTATTCCTCTGTCTGCATCCGTTAACCATTACAGGTTGCTGCTCTTGCCCCTCAATGTGAACTTGATGTTCCTGTAGGAGAAACATACAAAGACACACATCCATTTTTCAGCCACTGGTCGTATTTTTTTCTTTCTCTTAATCAGCTAACAGAGTTTATCTGATATAAAACAGGTTCTTGATGCCGTCGTTGAATTCTGAACGAACCAGTGTGAGAGAGAAGAAATGTATTTGGAATTCTCCCGACAAAAACCAGTTGAGCTTTTCCTCATCCTCGGTGTCCCTATGAAGCAACGTGGAAGGAACATATATACAAGCACTGAGCGCTAAAAGGAGGATCAGAGAAGACATGCCTAAGCTAGTTGATGTTATATGATTTCAAAGGCATTGTTATCTCCATCATGTGCTGCAGAATTTCTACAGATATGTCGGGGAGCCTTACAATCGTCAACGAGCCACCCGGCATCTAGATAAGGGAAGAGTGGTAATATTTGGTGGCGTCGGTGCAACGCTTGGAAAATCCACTCTTATCATCTGATGCATCTGCAGCCCTTTGAGCTATAGACAACAGTAAAACTCTCTTACTCCCTCTTAGTGTTGTTTCTTACCGCACCAACTTAAACTAACTTAGAATTCATATACTTCTCTTTCCCATTAGTAACTGGTCCTTAGAGCTAACCTAAGATCTCTTGTACATGTTATCAGTTAATGCGGAGGTAGTGGTGAAATGAACAAAAGTCGATGGTGTTTATGACTGCCATTCATAAGATAGTAACATGACATTTGAGCACATAACATTTCAAGATTTGGCTTCAAGAGGTCTTACGTCAATGGATACGATGGCCCTTAATTTCTGTGAAGAGAACAGCATTCCAGGTCAAGATTATTTTTCTCTCTTTTATCATCTTTAGCTAGTCCATTTTAGACTATTTATATCTTTAGCTAGGCCGTTACTATTTTTTTTTTTTTTGTGACATAAAAAAAATGTTATGTCACTTCTCAAAAAAAGTTAGTTAAAAAAAAAACAGAATGTGAATTGTTAGATGTTGATGAAAAACATTAAGTAAGCAAAAGTTTTTATATTGGACATTCACATGGACATGGCAGGCAGATCATGAAGTTATATAGGCTACAGGAAAAATACAAAAAATTGGCCCACTAATAAAATTTTCCTAGTTACTCTAGTTTCATTAACAATCCAAGGAATTTTGGGTGATCAAAGTGTGAATGACCAGTTTATTGACTGACACTTGGGAGAGTACTTAAATATTCAAAACTTGGATTACTTTTTTTTTTTTTTTGATAACCGAGTGTCCTGGCCCCACCGAGGTGGTCCAAACTAGAGACCGAACCCTTACGGCACGGACGCATACCCGAGGGTGGGTCATGGCCAGGTAACGGTCTACGGTCTCGGGCGCCAGAGCAAGTCCGCATGTAAATTCCCTGGTGGCCACTAGTATGTAGCAAGGGGGAATCGAACCCGGGCGTATTGGGATTACCACCTCAACCACGAAATCCGTCCTACCACTAACCCACCTTGTAGTGGTTGAAAAAAAAAAAAAACTTAGATTACTTAACATATAGTAAATCAAATGTAAGAGTTTCTTGAATTTCGTCATTATCTTCTTAATCAAGAAGTTGCTTGTTTTGTACTTAGAGATGATGATAAACCATTTTGTAATCAGCAAACTCTTCCAGTCTTCCTTACTGAATTCATAACCAAATTCAAAAGCTACGGCCTAACGAATAATCCCTAAAGCATCCAAAGCCTTGTACCAATCTAATGTTATTCTTTTTTGTCGTCTCCAGTCTAAAGTTACTCGTCCTTCTATCAGAATCCACATTCGTGCGAAACCACACTTTAACCTAAAGATTAACGAGGAAAATAATTAAATCATCCAAACCCACCTTCAATTTTTGTTAGTGGAAAAAATAGAGTAGTATTAAACAAAAAAAAGTGGACAAATAATAAATAAATAAAAATCCATCGGCACTCAAATTGTAATTATTTTTCTCCGTATCCATTTTGATTTTAGTCCCTTTGTTCCCATCTCTGCTCCTCTCTCTCTTTCTCGCTCTCTTCCTGATTTGATCGCCGGAAAATCTTAGCCGTCCGATCAACCACCGCATACTCCGAGAAGATCTCTTCGATTAGTTCAATGCTCTGATTTTCATCACCTCAGATCTCCGACAACATTCCGGTATCTCGCTCTTTTTCTCCAAATCCTTATCCTCGGGATTACGAAAATGAGGAGCTTGATCCGAGAGAGGCATAGTGGAAGCTATCTGTGAAATCTTAGGATTTGAATCTGAATTCTCAGGCTTTTTGAGATGCTGATTCAATTTTGAGCTCCTCTGCTAGTGTAAATCTCCTCAGCTCGGAAACTTAGGGTTTAGTTTGAGGTCCTTTGCTCTTAGTTGCGTAAGCCATGTTTAAGAAAATCATGAAAGGTGGGCATCGAAAGCCCTCTAAATCCGAAGCTAATGAACCTTCTAGTTATGGGATTGGTCTGCCTGATAATAGGTCAGGTCCTGGCTCCAATGTGGTCGTTAGTCACGCTTCTCGTGGTGCATTGGTTAATTCGTCTCCGTTGCCAGTGGCTGCAACTCCACCACCTCCGCCTATCGGCTCCGTGGAGCCACTCCCGTTGTTTAGAGATGTGCCGGTTTCAGAGAGGCAAACTTTGTTCTTGAGGAAACTTCAGAATTGCTGTTTCCTATTCGATTTCACTGACACGATTAAGAACGCGAGAGAGAAGGAGATTAAGAGGCAAACGTTGTTGGAGCTGGTGGATTTTATACAGTCTGGATCTAGTAAGGTCTCGGAATCGTGTCAGGAAGAAATGATTAAGATGATTTCTGTTAATATATTCCGGTCTCTCCCTCCAGCATCACACGAGAATACGGGTCAAGAACCTGCAGATCCTGAGGAAGAGGAACCCTATTTGGAACCTTCTTGGCCTCATTTACAGCTAGTTTACGAGTTGCTACTGAGATATGTTGTTTCAACTGACACGGATACAAAGGTGGCCAAACGGTATATCGACCATTCTTTTGTGTTAAAGTTGCTTGACTTGTTTGATTCTGAGGACCCGAGAGAGAGGGAGTATTTGAAAACGATTCTTCATAGGATTTATGGGAAGTTTATGGTCCACAGACCCTTTATTAGGAAAGCAATCAACAACATATTCTATAGGTTTATTTATGAGACAGAGAGACACAGTGGGATTGGGGAACTCTTGGAGATTCTAGGTAGTATCATAAACGGGTTTGCGTTGCCTATGAAGGAGGAGCACAAGCTATTCTTAATCAGGGTGTTGATACCATTGCATAAGCCAAAACCAATCGTTGTATATCATCAGCAGTTATCTTATTGCATCGTTCAGTTTGTGGAAAAAGATTATAAGCTTGCAGATACAGTAATCAGGGGATTGTTAAAGTATTGGCCCGTGACAAACTGCGCGAAGGAGAATCTCTTCCTTGGAGAACTTGAAGAAGTTCTCGAGGCAACACAGCCTGTCGAGTTCCAGCGTTGCATGGTTCCATTATTCCAACAGATCGGTCGCTGCCTCACTAGCTCTCACTTTCAGGTTAGTAATCGTGTTTGCAATGGTGTTTCTTTCTACTACCCCCATGGAGGCCTTATATATGCATATCACCTTATATATGGAGATTTTGTTATTTAGCGTTCTCTGCCCAAGTCACGATATATTTTAAGCATATTGATGCCTTTTATATTCCGTGTTGCGTGCTAGTGTCTTGTATGCCTATCACCTTCAAGTCAAGTTCTTTTAACTCTGGTCTGATTCATCCCCTGATCCATCAAGTTTATGGTGCAAATTGTTTTTTTTTTTTTTTTCTCTTTGCTTTGCCTCTTTGTTCATTTTTGCCACACTGTTGAATTTCATTCACAACATTATTATTATGATGTTGTTGGTATTAACTCTCGTTAAGTTGATGGGTTATCTCATGCTGTTGATAGCTACTGCTCTGATTAAATTCTTGGATTCTTAGATTATCTTCATTTTCCATGATTCAGTCGTTTCAAACTTCATGGAGTGAATTAACTCTCTGAATGTATTGACACTGCTGCTTACTGATTTCTAGCAACTACACAAGTTTCTCGTTATGTCTTTGTGGATCAGCTCAAACTTTCCCATAATTCTATGTGGGTTTTGCCTTATGCTCATATTTTTATATCTCATAAATCCGATACAGGTTGCAGAACGAGCACTGTTCTTGTGGAACAACGAGCACATTGTGGGTCTAATCGCACAGAACCGAAGTGTGATCCTTCCAATCATATACCCTGCATTGGAAAAGAACATACAGTCTCACTGGAACCAAGCAGTCCATGGTCTAACCACAAATATCAAGAAAATGTTCATGGAAATGGATCCTGAGCTCTTTGAAGAATGCCAAAGACAGTATGAAGAGAAACAATTGAAATCCAAAGAAGTAGAAGAACAACGGCAATATAAATGGAAGAGATTAGCAGAAGCAGCAGCGGAACGAGATGGAGGAGGAGAAGAAGAAGAAGATCATATGATCACTTCCTAGATCGATCAAAGAGGGTATTATTCTTTCACTTTTTTTTTTGTTCTCATTTAATCAAATCGTTTACTGTTAATTTTCTCTTGGAACTTGGATTTGTTTGTTGTTTTGAGAATCATGGGTTCAAAATCTGATTGCTCAGAGAAGTAGAGAGAGAGAGAGAAGTGAGCTATTACTATCAGAGAATATGTTTGTAGTACTAAGAAATGTGTTTGTGATCTTCTGTCTAATTTTGTTCGTGGACGGCACTTTAAAATTTTGTAAAATGTTTAATTATATATACTGTGGATGTTTGTAGCATGTGTTATTATTATTAGCCATCTCAAAATCCAATTTAGTTTTCATGTATTGATCAATTCATATCCTACTTTTTGTGTTATTTGTATCAAAACTTTGAATTTGTATATATGAGGAAACTAGTCTTCAACGACAATGTAACAGTCGATATCCACATGATTTATCTGTAGTGTGACAATGATCCTGAAACACAGTTGCGATAGACAATGTTTTTGATTCCTCAATTTCCGATACGAAGAGAGTTTTCAAGGTAACACAACACAATATCGTCTTCTTTATTGACCAAATTGGTTAACGAAATAAGTTGAGAGCTATTGGACCGAAAACATAGACCGAGAGAATATACCGAGTTATAGTTAAATTAGTTAAATGGCAATTCACCACGAGAAAACCTAAATTTAACTGAGGTTTCTTATTGCACGGCGGCGATTAGTTGTTTACTTGTTGTTAATAAAAAAAAATCATTCCACGGCGGTGGAGAGAAAAAAAGAGAGAGAGACAAAAGGAGACTACAATGGCTGTTCCAAGAGGAGGAGGCAATGGTTTGAATGAAGAAGAAGATGTTGACGGAGATAACACTCTCTTTGAGGAAAACGGTGTTGACTACGACAGCGATCCCGAGCTTCCCTCTCACCTCCGTGACTTGGCCACCGCAGCTCAGACCGGTGACGTTTCCGCCTTGCGCACCGCCATCGGTACTTTCCTTACTTCTTGTAGTGAGCTGCTTTTAACGAATATTTTGAAGTTGTCGTTCGTTCGCGGAGAAACCTACGATTAGTTTTTTGTTTTTTTTGTTGTTGAAACTTCAATTTCAATTTCATCTTCAATTGCGTATTGCTTGATTAGCTGGTCAGAGCGTAAAGCCTCGAACTTTTAATGGAACCACTAGATTTGCCATCTTCAGAACCAGAGCACTCTAAAAGAGTTTACTTGTCTCCACAAAATCTTCCCACAATCATTGCAAAAGATACCTCTAGTTTGATCTTTGTCTCATCTTCCTTCTCTTCCTCGTAAGCCACCTTAAGGGCTTCATCTTCCATTTGATTCCCATCTTAGCAACCTCACTGGTTTCTTTGTTGTTTGCTCAATCTAGTTAGTTCCACTTAGCAAGTATAAGAGAGAACTCTAGTTTATGCCTATTTGTATTCCTGTCTATCTTTGTTTTTTCTTTGTTGCTTGAGGCTGTGATGGACCTGATATAAGATTTGCATCCTCTTACTAACTGATGAAAATTAGATTAAATGAGCTTATCTTTCTACTGGCAGAAGTCAACTTTATCAGATTTGCATTGTAATTCTGTTTTTGAGAGGAAAATGTTCTGACGACAATAATGTTCCTTTTCTGATTTTGACAGACAATTTGAATGGGAGAGTCGATGAGCCACTTGAGGATAATGACTCGGCACTTCACTTGGCGTGTCTATATGGTCACCTACCTTGTGTTCAGGTTGCTTTTGCTTTTGCTCCTTGTTGCTTTGTCATTTCCATCGACTCTGATGTCTAATGTATCTGTAAATATCATCAATCGTTTTATTGATTTTCACTACAGCTGCTCTTAGAAAGAGGAGCTGATATGGAAGTCAAAGATGAAGACGAAGCAATTCCTCTACATGATGCTTGTGCTGGAGGTAAAGTTGGTCATGGTCCTACCATTCTTGTGGTAATTCTGTCTCACGGCATGGTCACATTCTATGGCTTATGTTCTCTTTGTTGAACTTGGGCTCGCAGGATACTTAGAAATAGTACAGCTTCTTTTTAGCCGAGCTAGTGGTCCCGAATGTGTGAAGAGAATGATCGAAACAGCTGATATAGAAGGTGACACTGTAAGTATTCTCCATCTTCAAATGCCTCAATCCCTCTCTCCCTCTATACTGTGATTCATCACAAAGTGTTTCTTGTTCACAGCCTCTGCATCATGCAGCAAGAGGTGAGCATGTTGATGTGATTAGTTTTTTACTGGGTTCAGGGGCTTCACCGACTACAAAAAACTCCTATGGAAAGGTAAAAACATTTGAAAACACTTTCATCTTTGGCTTTTGAATAAACGATAATAACTAAGGTTGTGATAATGCAGACACCAGATGAGTTAGCTGATTTAAACACTGATGCTAGGAGGATCCTGGAAGAAGCTATAAACAACTCAATAATCTCCTAGTGATGCTGCAAATCTGCCAGTGAAGTAGTAGTAAAATGTTAACTTTTTCTTAATTCCATTTTTGGTGGTTTCATTTACAAAAGGTTTCAAATCTGATACCTATCGAATTAAGAATTTCCGTGTCTGTTTGACTCCATGAAATTATTACCAGATTTGAGTACTACAAATATACAAGTCTTTTTTTTTTTTGGATTGGTAAAAAGTATTCATGAAGTAGAAGTTTTGTAAGAAGACTGGAATCAATTTTAAACGTCGTCTCAAACAAGAAGGAAAATTGAGCGATTTAAAAAGTTGGAGGATTGAAGTGTGAATAATTGAGAAATAAAAGACTAAAACAGTAAAAAGTAATAACATATGATCCACCAACCAATGAGCAGCTTTGAACTTGATAGCAGCAAGCAGTGCCTTTTTGGCTGTCTCCAGGAAAATTTCTTTGTTTCTCCGGCGAGAAGAGATTTTCCGGGGAAAATAGCATGAGCTCTCGGTTTTAGTTTGTGTTTAGAAAGAGGACGTAGCTATTATCTTCTGTGATGGCGGTTGCGCCGGCAAGAGCTCGTTCAGACTATGATTACCTCATCAAGCTCCTCCTCATCGGCGATAGCGGTAAGTCTCTGCCTTTTTATCTCTCTAGCTAAGTAATGAACAAACGAAACTGTTGCATTTTTATCTGAGAATTAGGGTTTTTGAATTTCTAATCGACAGAGTAAATGAATAAAGCTATACCACTCTGTTTAAATTTGTAGTATCGATTCAGTTCCTTTTTGGAAGATATGGCGCAATTGGAAACTTTAGAGAAGAACTAAGGAACCATTTTTTTTTTAACTTGACTATACAACAAGCAGTAGTTCAGATGAAGTAGTCATCATTTTCCATGTTAATTCATATTTTTGGTGTTAAGTAACTGTTCTCCTTTTTTTCATTTCGTGCTTATGTGTGTGTGTGTAGGTGTGGGAAAAAGTTGCTTGTTACTGCGTTTCTCAGATGATACTTTTACCACGAGTTTCATTACTACCATTGGGTATGTCTCTCTCTCTCTCTCTCTTCATATGCCTGTATCTTCTGTTTTGTCTTTCTAAGATTGTTGAAAAGTTGGGTATAATAAGTATGTTTCATGTTTTCCAGGATCGATTTCAAGATAAGAACAGTCGAACTTGATGGCAAGCGTATCAAATTGCAGATTTGGGACACTGCTGGACAAGAACGTTTTAGAACTATAACTACAGGTTATACTTCTTTCTGCTCTGAAACCATGTTTACTTGCAAGTGATAGGGAAAGTTACACTCCACGTCTATTTATTTACTTTCTTTTTTGTTACTAAATGATCAGATGTCATTTCTTTGAAACTTTTCTCGTCCATTTTTCTCTTGCAGCATATTACAGAGGAGCTATGGGTATATTACTCGTCTATGATGTAACAGATGAGTCATCTTTCAACAGTATGTCTTCTGGCTTTTCTTTCTACCAGGAACAATATTTCAACAAGAACTTCAAAAGTCACTTGTTTGTGGGAACTAACACAAATCTCCAGACATTAGGAACTGGATGAAAAACATTGAGCAGCATGCGTCCGACAGTGTCAACAAAATATTGGTTGGTAACAAAGCCGACATGGACGAAAGCAAAAGGGTAATTTTCCTGTGTACTCTGTTCACAATCTTGATCATGTTTTGCTTACATCTCGTAGTATACTGATGCTGCATCTTATTATTCTACAGGCTGTCCCAACATCAAAGGGACAAGCTCTCGCTGATGAGTATGGAATCAAATTCTTTGAAACGGTGAGAAATATATTTCATGTTTGTCTCCTCATTTATTTGTTTGTTTAAAGATTTCATGTTCTTAAATATGATTGGAAACTGTTGCAGAGTGCAAAAACAAACCAGAATGTCGAGCAGGTTTTCCTTTCTATCGCGAAAGACATCAAACAAAGACTCACAGAAAGCGATACAAAAGCCGAGGTAAAGAGGCATATGGAATCTACTACTTACTTGATACTCGGATTATGAAACTGTATATATTGCTGAGGAAATCAAATACTGTCTTTGTTGCTTTGCAGCCCCAAGGGATCAAGATCACCAAAAAAGATGCTAACAAAGCGTCATCGTCTTCTACAACTGAGAAATCAGCTTGCTGCAGTTATGTTTAGAAGTTCTCTGCACCTGTTTCTAATCTCTTACCGTCTTTAATCTTCTCCGCATCATTCAAGAGATCGTCCTATGTTCTTATTAGTAGGAGGATAGACTAAATTGATGGGCTGTGTGTGATTTTATGTCTATTGTGCTATATCTCCATGGCCAAATACTGTACTGGAAATGGTAGACAATGTTTAAGTGTTTAGACTTTAAATTAATGCAATGCAGATGTTGTGTGTGTAAGCTACGGCTTCAAGGCTCGAAATTTGAGATTTATCTCTTTCATTTGAGTGTGTTTTGTGACAGAGATATAGGATCGGACCAAAAGTAAACACGAGATAAGAACATAAAGTGTCTTGCTTTTTTTCCTATATAATGGGGAACTTATTACACAATCTCAGCCGAGGTAAGAAGAAGAAAGATCCAAGGAATTGATAAATTTACAGAGAAGCTAAGCTGCTTGAGAAATTTACACACAAAAGAGGCTACTTCCGACCCGGGCTTAACAAGGTGACTCACGAGCTGCAACACCGGCCTTGATGAGATCGGTAATCCGGTTTTCTCTTCACAGAGCTTGATCCTTCTTCCAAAAGACTAGGTACCTCCATTATCTGTTTCATTTTGCAACTACCCTGTTATTTACTTTCCTCAGTTTCGACAGGTTTTGAAAGTGAAAAGCGACCATCAAGATTCTTTCTTACCTTCAAAGCAAGCTCTTCGAAGCACCAGTTCACGTTGTCTCTGGTTCTTGCGCTACATTCATGAAACAAACACTTGAGGTCTTTCGCTAGAGCCATTCCTTCTTCCTGGCTAACCTTCCTCTCAGATTCCTGCAGTGATAACTATCAGTGAAACCGATCTCAAGTTGATTTGATTACAAGTAAGTGTTACTACTAGTACTCACTCACTCTATCAACTTTGTTGCCAACAAGCATCTTAATGCAGTCATGGTTAGTCGAATATAGCTCAATCTCTTTAGCCCAAACATCTGCTAAGTTCATAAATGTCTCTCTTTTCGTCACATCATAAACTGCATCATCACCAAGAAAACCCATAAGTATAAGAAGTCTCAGGAGCTTTTAAGATAACAGCTACTGGAAGTTGTATGATCATATTATTACCGAGAATGATTCCTTGGGAGCCTCTGAAATAAGAACTTGTCAATGTCCTGAACTTTTCTTGTCCAGCTATACACAACCACAAACCAAAAAAAATCACATGGACCATGAGTGGTTGTACTAACTAATTAGACATTTCAAAAACTCATCAGCTTACCTGTGTCCCAGATTGTAAGTTTGAGTCTTTTCCCTCTCACTTTCATCTGTTTGATCTTAAAATCAACACCTACAGTGTTAAACTAATGAGACCAGGCAGAAAAAGAAAAGAGAGTCTCAAGTACGGCCAAAAAAATCAACAGGAAAATCATGTCGACAATGTGATGAAAGATTATTAGCTTTTCAATTTGAAGTTTGGGCAGTCAATGGTCTAGCTCTGAGACTGATAAGAAGAGTTCATTATCAAACAGAAAATTACCGATGGTGGGAGCAAGATCTTCGACAGAGCTAGAAATGAAGCTGAGAAGTAAACTACTTTTACCAACACCAGAATCTCCAATCAACAAGATCTTGAAAGACAGATCATAACCACTTTGCCCAGAAGAAGATCCCATTTCTACAATCTCTCACTCTAAAACCCTCGATCTTAATATACCACAGTAGAGAACTAGAGATCAACTCAAATTTAACCAACAAAAAAAAAAAGTGATTTTTTTCTGTAAAAGAATGAATCGAAAATCTATGATTCATACAAACAAAATTAAGAAACTTTATTCTTTACAGAGCAGAAAAAATAATGAAAAACGCTTACTAGAATTTGAACAAATAAAGACATTAAACTCTTTGCTTCTTCGTCTTTCTCCGACATTTCGCTTCACGACACGTATCTGTTTCTGTTTCAACGTTTCTTCCAAAGTCCCGTCTTGTTTGTATCCACGTGTTTGTTGCTCCCGCTCCCCCTCCCTTGTTTTATTTTCTTTTTCTTTCTTGCTTTTAATAATAAAACCAAATATTTCACTACTGTTACGTTTTACGATTACGTTTTGCGGTTTGCGGCGATTCAAAAAAAAAAAAGAAGAAGAAGGAAAAATAGTGAAGATCTGTTTACAACAAGGAGACATCAAAGTATGCTCACAAGATCTGTTGTTATAAGTTCACTTGTATGGATTACAAGTTACAACCAGTTTTGGAACAAAGGCTTTTTCAACACATTAGAACAAAAAACCTCATTCTGTTGCAAAATTAACCATTCGAATCAAATACTCTCCAAATTAAGTGTTTTTTTCTTTTGTTTAATTACACGAATGTAAAGAGACCTCATTCTTCAAAACCAAACGTGTGCATGAAAGCATTTTCGTCACAAAATAAGTGAAACAAGAGACAAAGCCCAAATAAACAAACGTTCAAGCCTAGCTAGTGACGCATTCATCAAACAGTAGCAGCAAGAACCTTCACCAAATCATTTTCTGCAGGGACTGTGAGCACATGATCAAACCACTCAATTTTCCCCAAAATTTTACTTTTTCGTTTTTCAAGCGCAATCTCCACACACCAAATTTTTTTCATACCGGTGAATCCAGGCCGACAATAAGGCAAATCTTCCTCCTCCCACAAAACCGCTAACTTTCCACTATTATCAGCCAATCTAACAGAAACGTCAGGAGGCAACCTACTTAGTCGTCCTACCAAACCCTCCATATCTCTCCACATTTTTAACTCGGTGTCATACCACATGAACTCTCCGTCAGAAACAAAGTACAAAACATTCTCTATCTCGCAAAAAGAATTTGAATAAATAAGATAATACAAACTTTGTCCAGTCCTGTCCCATCTACCTTTCTTGGAATCGTAAGCAATCACCCCCTCTCTTTCAGTCACCACGTGGAACTTTCCGTCAATACAAGTGCTTTTGGAGTAAAGAAAGTTGTCTATTCTCCCGCTGCAAGCGATGGGCTCAGTATCCCAAATTTGTGTTTTTGTGTCGAACACCTCCAAGAAGTTCTTCAAAGAATTTGAATCACTATCGTTGTAGCATCCTGCTACATATATCTTTCGATCAAGGACACTAGCAGAAAGACACAGTTGTTCCACACGCAATCTTGGAGCCTCACGCCACGTATGAGACCGGCAATCCAAAATCGAGACGCTATAGGAAGGCCCGTGGTAGTTGGATCCCCCAATGTTGTAGATATCAGAACCAACCGCCACGAGACTCGAAAAGCTCCCTTTTTGAAAACTGGGAATCGGTACTGTTGCCAAAACATATCCACTTGACTTCTTCTTAGTGGTGTAATTGGATAGGGTTTGATCTGGCTTCCGGCAGAGGGTGAACCAGCGATAACCAGGACAGCACTGTAAGCACACATAGAGACAACTCTCAGTGTGGCCCGAGAGCGACCTGGCCTTGTAAAGCTCCGGTGAAGCTAGGAGAGATCGAAAGCTCTTGGAGACGAGGGAGAGAGTTGGATAGTACAACCTTGAGACGCGTGCGACGATGCTCAAAAGCAAATCATCCGGAAGTGACGGATTTGGAGACAACTTCTTCTTCTCCGTCGTAGTTGTTGTCTTCCTCTTCTTGTTCGTTTCGAGGGACCACATTGATTTGCTGCTCTTCATAAGAATAAGACGACAACAAAGAAAGACAACACGTTACTACGTTAGGGTTTTTTATGTGACTAAGGTTGTGATACTTTTTTTTTTTTTTTTGCCTTTTTAATAATAAAACCAAATATTTCATGCAATTAAGCAGTGCGGTTACGTTTGTGGTTTCGGCGATTCAGGAAATAAAAAAGAAAAAATAGTTTCTGCTGCAAAATTAACCACTCAAATCAAATACGCTCCAAAGTGTATTTTTGTTTACACGAATATAAAGAGACCTCAGTTTTTTCAACACCAAACGTGTGCTTCAAAAATATTACGGTCACAAAATAAGATTAATTAATAATCAGCAAGTTACATCAAATGATTAGAAACAAGAGACAAAGTCCCAACAAACAAACGTTCAAGCTTTGTGACGCAAATATTAAACAGTAGCAGCAAGAACCTTCACCAAATCATATTCTTTAGGGATTGTAAGCACATGATCAAACCACTCAACTTCCCCATAAATTTCACAATTTTTGCGTCTTTCAAGCGCAATCTCGGCACACCAAATTTTCTTCTTATGGACGAAACTAGACAAACAATAAAGCAAATCCTCTTCCCACAAAACCACTAACTTTCCACCATAATCACCCAATCTAACAGAACCACCAAGAGGAAACGTAGGTAGTCCTGCCAAGCCCTCCAAATATCTCCACCTGCTTGCCTCAGTGTCATACCATATGACCATTCTGTTATAAACAGAGTACAAAACATTCTCCATCACGCAATAAGAATCTGAACGCATATGCTGATCCAAATCCAACCGTAGTCCATCCAGGTCCCATCTACCTTCCTTGGGATTGTAAGCAACCACCCCCTCACTGTCAGTCACCACATGGATCTTTTTATCAATACAAATGCTTTTGGAGTGAAGAAAGTTGAATTCTCTCTCGCTGTAAGGGATGCAAGGGATGGGCTCACTAACCCAAACTTTTGTTTTTGTGTCGAACACCTCAAAGAAAGAAGAATCTAAATGTATATCGTTGTAACATCCTGCTACATATATCTTTTGACCAAGGACGCTAGCAGAAAGTGACAAATGTTCCACCGGCAAGCTTGGAGCCTTGGGCCACCTGCGAGACCGGCTATCTAGAATCAAGCTTTGAACCTTGCGCCACGTGTGAGACCGGCAATCCAGAATCGAGACGTTAGAGGAGGGCCCGTGGATGTTGTAGATATCAGAACCAACCACCACGAGACTCGAAAAGTGCGGTTTATGAAAACTAGGAATCGGGACTGGTGCCAAAACATACCCACTTGGCTTCTTCTTAGTGGTGTCATTGGTTAGGGTTTGATCAGGCTTCCGACAGAGGGTGAACCAGCGATAACCAGGAAAGCACCGTAAGCACACATAGAGACAACTCTCGGTGTGGCCCAAGAATGACCTGGCCTTGTAAAGCTCCGGTGAAGCTAGGAGAGATCGAAAGCTCTTGGAGACGAGTGAGAGAGTCGGATAGTACAATCTTGGAACGCGTGCGACGATGTCCAATAGCAAATCATCGGGAAGTGACGGATTTGGGGACAGCTTCTTCTTCTTCTTCGTAGTCGGTATCTTCCTCTTCCTCTTCTTTTCCAGGGACGACATTGATTTGTTACTCTTCAAAAGAAGAAGACAACACGTTAGGGTTTTTCTGTGACTTTTGATTATTACTATTTTTTGCTTTTTAATAATTAAACCAAAATACTTCATGCAATCAAGAAAAGGAAAAATAGTTTTTTATTTATTTATTGAAGCTCTCAAGATCTGTATAGAAGATACTTACAACATAGAATTCTTTTTTTTTTCTATCTATAAAACAAAAACATAACTCTGTACTCAATTCTTTCTCTATGAGTGGTTGTTCTGTGGAAATACTTTCTTGATGAACTCAAGAAAACGTTGGGAGTAAAATGTAGGATCAACGGCTGAGATCGAAAGAGAATCAAAGTGAAGAGATTTATAAGCATGCTCAATCTTCTTGGTCATGTTGTACTCTTGTAAGATGTCTATAATGCCAAGGTAGAGCACGACGTCGCAGCAATCATATAAAATCTGCTTCTCTTTATCTTCTCTTCCCGGTATCAGCTCTGCTCTCGCCGGCATGTTCACTCCTTGCTGTATCTGCAGCCTGCATTTATAGAGATTGTTTTCAAAAAACAGAACTGGACTAAGTTTATAAGCGACACCTAGGACCGGGAGTAGAAAACCCGCATACATCAGTTCCATGCCCTCTGGATCATATGTATTCCATTTCTTTGTCATTAGCATTTGTTTATGAGACTTTGGTTTTCTAAGCCGAAAAAGTACTAAACTGAATTCTAGACAAGATTCATCAAGAAAAAGCTAGTAGTAACGTCTACATTACTTGTCAGCATCGGTTTTTGTCCGGATGAATTCAATTTCATCATGATCTACTACAAGTGTATATACTTCCAAATGATAAACGTTCCTGCTTTTAGTTTGTAACATAACTTCAGTGTTTTGGCGCTAGTTACGATAATAAATTGAGCACCACTGATCCTCCTATGTTAAGTGAAGTGTTACTTTTTCATTTGTCAATGAGTTGAGAGTTAAGTTACCTGGCTGTTCCAGGAAGAAGGAGATCGACTTCTTCATCACCAGCAGCGGATGCTCGTAATCTGCTGCCTCTGATGTGAGGGCCAGTTACAATATTTTCACTTCCCCGAGGGACAAGAACCAATCCTTCGTGGTAAGACAACATGTCGTCTTCGATTGTATCTGCTTTCATCATCATCATCAGTAGAAGAACATAGTATGAATCATTTTAGAGGCGATGAAAAAGAGGAATCTCACCGTCTTCAGCTACACTTTCCAACGCATCAGTTGTTATACTTTGAGAACGGACCAATTGGGACCTTAAGTGTTGTGGAGCTCGATGATGCACACCGAGTAAAAGACTGTAATCCATTATGTTCTGTGCTTCCAAGAACTTACTATCGATCTCTAGTTGTCTGTTTACACAACAAGCGAACAAATTTTAAACTGCAGGATATGGATTGATAAATGTATATATCTTACAATTGGTCCTGGAGAGAGTAATACCTCAGTAAATCTTCCCGCCAAGAAGGCTCCAAGAAGAAGTTGTAGTTCAGATCTAAATCTTTAAGTATCGTGTTCTCGTCTATCTCGACTTTGTCTGCAGAGCGTCCCAAGGATGAACCTTTAAGGTCAAATCTCCGATGAATTCTTAGATCTGTAAAGAACATGTTACCCATCACCACAAAACGGAACTGCAATGCAAGAGAAATTTGCAAAGTTAGTTAGGCTTAAGTTTGATTTGGATTTCCAAATGTTGCTCTAATGCTAGGGTGCTACTCTAGATCATATCTAGAGCCAGCAATGTAGGCAACCTCCAAGCTAATGATAGTAAAAGTCAAAATCAGAATCTTGAGGTATATTTCTTCAGGACCTTTTGACCACTTGATGGTTTGATTCTGTGAAGGCCAAAGAATTTAGTAATGAGGGTGTTCTCATATGTCTTGACATGATGATGGTAATCTGGAAGCATCCTCAGAAGAACCTACACATTAAATCTGGAAGCTCAATGGCCAGTAGAACAAAGAGTCTACATAAAGAAATGGAGAAAACTTAGAAGAAAATGTGAAAACAGAGATGGTGGATACATAAGTAGTCACAAACCTTGACTTCAGATTTCCTGAGTGTTTTGATCATGAACCGATCATCCTGAGACAGGAAGAAGACGCTGCCGCTCTTCCCTGGAGAAGAAAGTTCTCTTAAAGTATCATTTCCACAAATGGACATCATATAATCAGCTGCATCGATCTTGAACATCTCCCTCAGGTTCCTACAAGGTTTAGAATGAATGTAAAACACCGAGGACACTACTACTTTAGTTAACATACTACTAAGAAAAAAAGTATGCAGAACAAAAATTCTAACCTGAATACCATTGGGCAATAGTCCTTCCATTTAAAATCTTCCGAGTGGTGTGGAGGAGTCATCGTGGAGCCAGCTCGAGGAAAATTCATCCAAAAACTAGCCCGAGGTCCAAAGTCTGCTGTCCGTACTTGTCGTCTTTGTATTGGCGTAATTTTCCCCACTGTGTATCTAACGTTTGAACTAGTTCAGTGACACAATACTCGGCGATGAATTTAGAGCTAAACAAGCTCACAGGACACAGGTTTAGAAGGAGCAAGCATACCTGATTCCAAGCTGCAAACTGAGCATCAGATCATAACTCCGGTGACCTTTAATAACAACTTCTCCGGGCTTCTTAGCTTCTTTAACAAGTCTTTTGTGTTTCCTTTTTGCTCTTCTGGATGTGCGCGAAAAACCGTTGTTTACCACAAGCTCACTGATCAGAACACCTTGCATATATTCCCGCTCCAAGATCGGTACGTTTGCTTTATACTGCACACTACTTCCGCTATCTAAAACTGCTGTAGATAAATCCGAGTAACCATGTCCGATTACTTTCTCAATAGATACTTCAAGACTCCAACGTCTTTCTAAAGAAACCCTTCCATTGCGGGACTGTTCTAAGTTTATTAAGCTCCCTTTTGAGAGCTTATTACGGTTCACACCAACCCTAAGGTTTTCCATATTAACCGAAGAAGCAACTTGGTTCTGTCTTCTCAAATCTGGCAAAACACCTCTTTTTCTAAGAGCATTTAAATAAAACTCTTGCACTGCCGGAACTCTAGTTCCCGCTGAATAAAACGAGCCTTTACCGTCTTTCAAACCCCGTGTCCATGTCCCAACATAGCAACCGCCATCGCTCCATGTATATACACCAACACCATGCATCATTCCATTCAACCAACTTCCTTCATAGGAGTCCCCGGTAACCCAAGTCAGTGTACCCTTTCCTGACATTTTCCCGCCTTTCATATCCCCGAGATAGACATTTTTATTAGCCCAAGTATACTTCCCTGGCCCTTCTCCCAACCCCTGAATCCAAGAACCTTCAAAGACATCTCCATTAGGGTAAACCTGATATCCGAGCCCATGCTTCAGATTAAGCCGCCATCTTCCTTTATACGTTAACTTGTTAGCATCCACATAGGTCCCTGAACCGTGCATATAACCGCCTGAAAATTCACCTTCATACGATGCCCCGGAAGCCCATCTCATCTTTCCAATTCCATGTCTCATCCCACGCCTCCATTCTCCATCGTAAACACACCCATCTGACCATATGTACTTCCCTGGTCCCTCGGGTACATTTCCAAGCAAAGAACCACTGTAGGATTCGCCATCAGGGAGCAACAGCTCTCTAACTCTGAACCTAGCATCCTCAGAAGTTTCGGAAACTTCTCCACTGTTTAGCGCTAATAGGATCTCTTTCTTAGTAAGTGCATCAACAGATTTAGTTCGTTCTGCACAAGAAACTGGCTCTCGAAGGTCAAGGCCAGACATGTAAATCTCCAAAGAAACCAAAGCACAAACGCTCAGACAAACCGCAGAGAAAAAGGCGCGTCACAGCCTCAAGGAGAACACTCTTTCAACAAAACATGAAGCTACCTCCAGTAAACTGGCAAACTGGTGAAATAGAATGTGCTCAGCTACTGTCAACGAAGAAAGCAGAAGCAAGAATCAGGCTCCAAGTCACGATGTATGAATCTAGCATCAGAATCAGAAAAAAGAAGAGTAACTAACTTTTGATGAATGCAACAATCTAAAACTAATGAGGAAAACATGAAAATATATAAATGGTCACAAAACCAAAGGCTAGCTCAAATCTCTATCAAACAAGAAACTTAAGACACGCATCTGATTCTTGGTCCCACTTGAAAGAACAAGAACTCATTAAATTTCACAGAGAAGCAGAGAATGAAAGAGAGCAAACAAAAATCCCTTTTTTTTCCTCTCAAAAAGAAAGCCTTTTATGGAAGAAGACGAATCCACAATCATAAAGTCTTTATAAAAAAATCTAAACTTTTATAACAAACTTTTATTCTGAATTCTCATATAAAAAAAAAAAAAAGAAGAGATTCCTCTCACGTCTCCCAAATAAAGCCAGAGTATGCCAAATTTACCAAACCAAAAAGCTATAAAGAATCCCACTTTATAGGAATTGATCAAAAGAAAAACAAAAAATGTTCATTACAAGTTTCAAGTTTCAATATTTCAATATTAATTTGAAATCTAGACAACTTCATAATGAAACCCCAATATATCAGAGTCGTTTCAATGGAACCAAAAGTTAAAACTTTGATTAACACAATCAACAAGCAACTCCATTTCAATCTTCAATCTTCAACAAAGATAAAATGAAAGCAACAATTCCCGGTTAAAGACTTATTCAATCTAAAGAGAACCAAAACCAGAGAAAATGCCCGAATTCGAAAATGAAACCGGATCCAGAAAACCAAATCAAGCTCACTAAATAAGGAAACTGGGGAAGTAAAGGAGATGCACAAACCGTACGGACGAGCTCAAAGCTCTTCTCTTTCTTATTTCGTTCGTCTTCTACGTTCAGCTTCTGTGGGCTTTGTTGCTCAAATCTTTCGAAAGAGACGATTGGACCAAATCCCAAAGCTAATAAGCGCCACAATAACAGCTTCTTCTTAGAAACTCTCTGTTCCATAAAAATTCAAGCTTTTACTTTACAACTAAATGACGAATATAACCTTAGCATTATTAATTAATTAGTGCCTCTTTATTCTTTTATTTTGGCTATTTTCTGATCTAACCCCACTTAACACTTACTACTATTTAGCCCTCCC